CAGAGGTGGGGGTGGGGGTGGTGGGAGGGATACTGGGATCACTGGGATCATTGGGATCATTGGTGGTGGAGAATGGGCATGGTTGAGGGATGGGTACTTGATCATTGTATGACTGAAACGTAAGCATGAAAGTTTGTAAGTCTGTAACTGTACCTCATGGTGATTCATTAAAAAAATAAAAAAGATATTGAGCATATTTCAAAGACTAAGGATTTGACTTTTTAAGTACCACCATCCTAGGAATGTGAAATTTGGCAGATTCTACATCTTGACTCATCTTTGGGGTTGGAAATACCCTGTAAGGCACCATCCTACAGAACACAGAAGGGAAACTGAGATTGCATTTGTACGGGCATGCTGTGGGAAGATTAGTGACATTAAGCTAGAGGCTGCCAATAGTACGTTCATCCCCTAAACTATTCTCTATTACTCATAGAATACCACACACCATGTTCGGTATTACCATGACTTATCCTGGAATGGAGAAAGTATTTTCATTGGAAAAGTTTCACCTGGAAAAGGTCCTTATTCCATCAAAGCCAAAATGAGCAGGGGCGGGGAGGTATGGGGGGGTGGGGGGGCAGGGGAGGGACAGGTCAGTGGTAGAGCACTTCCCTTGCGTGTAAGGCTCTGGGTTTCATCCCCAGCACCTGGGCAGGCACGCCCATGCCCAATTGAATAGAAAAAAAATTAAATGAAAGGGAAGACATGTGAGGTCACAGAAGTCTAAAGAAAAAGATAGATTATAGAGAAAGCACCTTATGCTAGGTGTTAATCTCATGCCATCTCTTGGGCCTAGATACCACCGCAGGGAGAAGCCGGGAAGCTCATGAATGTGTGTAATCAGGTGGCCTGGTATCACCCACCATATGAAGAGGGGCCGGAGTCATAGTACAGCGGGTAGGGCATTTGCCTTGCATGTGGCAGACCCAGGTTCCATCCTTTGCATCCCATATGGTCCCCTGAGCATCACCAGGAGTAATTTCTGAGCACAGAGACAGGAGCATCTCCTGGTGTGCCCCCACCGTGAGCCCCCAAACCAACCACGACGAAGAACTTGGGCTTTCCCACTGCAAACCTCACACACTCCTGGGTCTACAAGCCTGTTTCTGTATCATGCTTCCACCCTTCACCCTGCTCAGGCCTGTGGTACTGGTGTGTCCCCAAAGCGAAGGTCACCTACCTGAGTATACTTGCGGAAAAACACCCCTTGTACTTTCCCAAACACTTCATAATCCACCGAGATGAGGGTGTCCCCCTCGGCCATGCTCACACCTGTCAAGAGACCAGGAAAGCAGAAAAGGGAAAGAGCCCGTCATCCTTCTCCCTGGGACGGAGACCTAGTACAGGGGCGAAGGCGCTTGCCTTGCCTGTGGTCCTGCCCTGGTTTGATCCCGTTGCCACCTAGGATCCCCCAGCCCCCTGCACCGCCAGGAGTGATCCCTGGACACCAGTCCAGGAGAAATCCCTGAGCACCCCTAGGTGAGCTCCTCCAAACCCGTCCCAGCCCCTACCCCACCCCAGCCAGTTTCCAGGGCTTCACCTGCCTTTGCTCCAGGCCCTGAGGGACCCCGTGGGGGGCAAGGAAGCGAGCCTGTAAAGCGACAGGAAGTTAGGGGGAATCTTCAGGGTCGCAACTGCCCACCGAGGTTTCTTTAGCGGTACTGACCTGCGCAGTCCAGGCGCCGCCCCACATCCACCCACCTGGATGGGGGTCCAGCCGCCTCCCTGGGCCTTGCCCTTCCACCGACCTGGAGTCCACGCAGCCCCGAGAAAACCCTCAACATCTGCGGGTGAAGACCCCCACGGAGCCCCCACGCCTCGGCAGCCGGCCTCCCAGGCTCACCGTCCAGCCGCTCCACCCGCACGGCGACCACCCGGTCAAACTGTTACCCTCGTGCGTAACCGCCGCGCTCCGCACGGCAGCTCCCCCTTCGCTGGCCTTCACGCCCATCACCCTCAGGACCAATAAAAATGGAGTTCTTGGCCCAGTGCCCGCCCACAGGGCGGGATTTCAAGACGGGCTGCGGAAGAGCGCAGGCGAGAGGGGGCGTGCGGATCTGCCCGGCGTTTTTGCTCCGACCTCGCAGAAAAGGTCTCGCCCCACCGCATAAAGTGGCCTTTGTCTCATTTTCTCCAAGGAGAACTTGAGAAAACTCCAGTCCGAGAGCCTGCAGTGTGCCGGCACAGCTGTCGGGGGGGGGGGGGGTGTGATAGAATCTATGCACCACCAGGTGTGGTCTACCCCATTTGGCCCCCCCAAATATATAAAGGGGAGTGAAGAAGAACTGACCTAGGGCAGCAGAATGCAAAGGGGCCGAAGATGAGATACGCTGCAAAAGTAAATTTACACAAAGTCTGCTTAGCAACAAGAGGCAAGAGTGACAGAGAAGGAAGCAGTGAAAATGGGCAGGAGAGGAACAGGTGGGGGAAGTGATTATGAGCTCGTTTCTGTCATTTGAGTTAGGGGTACCTCTACCTCAGAGCTGTTGGAAATTTGAGCTGCAACTAGCAAGAAAGCGAAACTGCTTGTCATTGAGACATAGGTGAGACCTAACAGTCTAACCCTTTGGTTAAAATCATTAAGGGAAGTAAGGCCTGGAAATGTATACAAGGCTTTAGAGACAAATTTAAATTTGGGGAGCAGGTGTGTAAAAGATGAAATATCAGACACCTGGAGAAGGAGTCTGGAAGGACTTGAAAGAAGAAACCAAGAAGCCGTGGGGGACTATGAGAGAATTTCAAGGGTGGACAAAAATTTCAATGGCGGTCCAGTAGGCTGCAAAATAGGCTGCTTTTGTCTTGTTCCTAGGAGGACTGGACAGTGAGGGGTAGAGGCAGGAGTGGGGGTGGACCATTTTCTATTAAGTTTTTTTTTTAATAGAGAACAAAGTTTTCTATTAAGAACTATTGAGGTTTGGAGTAGTAGTATGGGGGTAAGGTAGTTGTCTTGCACATGGCTGACCTGGGTTGGTTCCCCAGCAACTCCATTGGCCCCCTGAGCACTGCCAGGAATAAGCCCTAAGCATAGCCCAGTGTTATGCCAAAATAAAACAAACAAACCAAAAGAACTCTTGATAGAATAGAGAGTTGAATAGATAGATGCTTTGCATGCTGGTGTCTTGGGTTTGATCCTTGGCCTCCATATCCCCTCTGAATACCTCCAGGAGTGAGACCTAAGCCTCCTACCCCCACCCCACCCCCACACTGGCAGGTGTGGCCCCAAAACAAAAATAGTGAAATGAATGGGACCTTAACATGAGAGGGGGTAGATGAAGGGGGATCAGGTTTATTTTGCAGGGGTAAGTGAAGCATATTTAAAATACGTGGGTAGAAAAAAAATTACTGTCACTGTCCTCCCTTGTTGATCGATTTGCTCGAGCAGGCCCAGTAATATTGTGAGACTTGTTACTGTGTTTGGCATATTGAATAACGTCAGAGGTAGCTTGCCAGGCTTTGCCATGCGGGCGAGATACTCTGGGTAGCAAGATTTCCTGGGTAGCTTGCCAGACTCCCTGAGAGGGGCGGAAGAATCGAACTTGGGTTGGCCGTGTTGGCCGCATGCAAGGCAAATGTCCTACCCGCTGTGCTATGGCTCTAGCCCAGAAAAAAAATTAAAGAAAAAAATTTTAGTAAAGGAAAGAGATAGGTGGGCAGATAAACTTAAAAGTTACTAAAATGGGGCTGGAGAGATAGTACAGCGGCTAGGGCATTTGCCATGCATGCGGCCAAGTCTGGTTCAATCCCTGGCATCTCAAAATGGTCCCCCAAAATAGCCAGGAGTGATCCCCGAGTGCAGAGCCAGATTACCCCCCTGAGCATCACCGCATGTGGCCCTCCCTCCCCCCCCAAAGATATTACTAAAACTCAGAGGTTAAAGAATGGGGCCAATTCCGGAGGAATATTGAAAGGAACTCTGGGAGGAGAAATTAATCTTGAGAAGTAAGAGGGAAGGAAGTCAAGATGAAGGAAGGCAGTTGGAAGAACAGTGTCGGTGTGGAGGGAAGCTTCTATAGAGTTAATGACAGGCAAACCCCAGGCTGAGATCATTGACACCTAGAGATGAGTGGCTATTTGGAGCTGATACACAGAGCAGTCAAGGAGGAGAGAGAACGAAAGAACTGCCTTGGAGATCCCAGCAAGGAATCACTTTGTAACATATAAAAGCAGTGACAAGCCACACTGAAGCATTAACTTGGACTACTACTAAGTTGTTTCCCATGTGCACGAATAATTTTGAGTAAGTTACGAGAAAAAAGTAAGCTGCCTGTTCCGGACAGTTTACACAAATGAACTGAAGCATGAAGACAAATAAACTCTCCTCTGATGTTAACAAGTTATAGAATATCACTTAGTGTTGAAATTAGGTTAGACTGATTATTTTCTATCTGGTAGTTAACTTGATTATCGTTTCATTTGGCTGAGTCATCCTTGGGCCGTAAGAAGAGCCGGCCAGTTACCCCGTGAGAGTGAAACATTATGTCAAAATAATTAGATTGGCTACAAAACGACCATGGAAAGATACTGCAGAGCAAAACCTAGTCGAGATGCTCAAAGTTGACAGCAAGCTCCAAACTGCTGGCGCAAAAAAAAAAAGAAAAAAAAAAACACCGGGCAAGGGTTCCCAGCAATACCTGGGGCCGATGCAAAGCAGCCGAGCGTGCAATGGAAGGCTAGCAGCATGCCCACTCCTGCAAGGTGGACTGGCACCACCGGAATGGAGCGGCCCAAGCAGCGGCGAGCACCTCTCGGGGCTCCGTCCTTGGCCAGAGCAGGGCATTCCCCAGAGTCTGCGAGCATCGTTCTCAGCCAGTCCGCGTCTCGGACCGAGCCCCGGGGAAGAACTCTCTTGTAGCCGCCGCACTCCCCGAGACCCTGATCCTCAAGGGCAGGGCTGGACGCTCGGTCAGGCCCGCGACGCGCCGAGTGCGCCTGCGCGCTGCTCGCCGCGCCGCGGGGGCGGGGCCGGGCGCTCAAGCTCTCCCGTCTCCAGGCAACGGCGACAACAGAGGCGGCGCGCGCCTGCGCGGCGGGCAGTTGGTCCGCGGGCTCGGCTGCCCCACGGCGAGAGCGGTGCCCGAGAGCCTCAGGTACGGCAGGAGTGGGAAGACATGGGGTCAGGACCTCCGGCTTCCCACGGCCCAACGAGGACTTGTCCCCAGAGCGGGGTCCCCAGGCGGGGCGGTACCCTAGGACTGAAGGTGACTTCTGAGTTCCCGACCCAAAGCCCGCGGCCACCAGGTCAGGTGACCTCCACCGCGCAGCGACCGACTGGACCCCGGGGGCGAGGGGTCCCGCCCTGAGCCGCCTCTGATCTCCTTGGCATCAGCAAGAGGGAATCCCTGGGAGCTGTTTATGCCAGTCATTAACCGGCCTCCCTCCCTCTTTCCTTCCCTCCCTCCTCTTCCTTTTTTCCTCCCTCTCTTTCCCTTCTTCTTCCATCCCCACACCCAGCAATGCTGAGGGGTTACTACTGGCTCTGCACTCAGGAACTACCAGGAGTACTTGGGGGCATCATACTGGGTGCAGGAGATCACCCACCACCACCATCACCACCACCTCCCCAGCCGGCCTTGTAGAAAGCAAGCGCCCTACCCATTGTACTATCTATCTCTAGCCCCTGGGTCACAGATTTCTAACTTGTTTTTAAAAAAAAAAAAAAAAAAGTTGGGGCTGAAAGGGCCAGAGCTATAGTCCAGTGATCAGGGCAATTGCCTAGGTCTCAGCCAACCCAGGTTCAATCCCTGACACCATGTGGTCCCTGAGCACTGCCAGGGGTGAATCCCTGAGCATTGCTGGGTGTGGTCCAAAAACCAGAAAAAAAAATCAATCATGAATTGAAGTCAGGACTTAAACTGAAATTAAACTCTGAGCATAGCCCTTGGCTTATGGAAGATACAGCCAGCCAGGTTCAGAGGTTGCCCCTCCTGTTTTAAAGGCCTTAAACCCATTTACTGATGCAAAACACTGTGTGGCAGGAGTGGTCAATGGGGATGACCAGCTGGTGAGGGGACACCTGGGCATGTTCATCCCCCATCCTCAAGTGGCCACATGTGTCTGGCATCTACCAAATGCTTACAGAAAAGAAAGGAAAATATAGGTAGGAAAAAAGGCAGTTAGGGTTCACGTTAGCAACTGGGGTGAGCCTCAGTCTCCTCACAAATATCTGTTTGAAATCCCCCGTAGGCTCCAGAGCAGACCTGAATGGCTGATCTCCAGCTGGGACCTCTGCCAGTGGGTGTTATGCTCCCACATAATCAGAGGGAAGGCCCTGCGCTCCGCTCAACCAAGCAAGACCCCTACCGACAAGCTGGCTCTTCCCAGAGGCCCTCAGTGGTACACCTGAAGGATTATTCCCAGCATAAACTTTTGAGCACCAAAGAGGTGGCCCTGGAGAGTGTCAGTATTCACCCCACCTGGGACAGCTTAAAAATCCGGAGCTGCTACCCTCCCCATTTTGTTGGAACCAGCCATGAAGATTCAGGAAACCATCTCCAGGCTCCAGCCAAGGGCTTGGTTTACTCCTCAGACCCTCCGCCCTGTTATCTCCAAGCTAATAACCAAGACTTCATCCCCTTTGCAAGGAAGAGAATTGGGGTGGACAGGGCATACCCACTGAAACCCGTGTGCCACCGGAAATCTCACAGTACAGGTGAGACACACAGTGTGAAGGGTCACAATGTCTCTTTGAGATCCCTGGAACCAAGAAGGTTTTCCTGTGGCAGTCTTGGTTCACCTGTGTTTGATCCCATTTTTGATGCCACACAGAGGGAGGGCATCATGGCAAACCACCCGAGAGCTGAGCGGATACAGATCCAACGGCTGGAAGCTGAAGGGGCGAGCTTACAGGAGGAAATCCGAAGGAAAGAAGCCCTTCTGAAGGAGAAGCTAAAGAAGACAGTGGAAGAACTCAGAAGGATCCAGAAGGAAAGGGAACAGGCCAAGGAAAACGAGAAGAGAGAGATACAGAGAATAACCCTCCCCGTGAGGACAGTCAAAGGTAACAGAAATGCCCTGTATAGGCCCACCTTCACCCCAGCGTTCTGTTCTGAAGAGATGAGCAGTAGAGACAGGAGAGAGGGTGAAACTTGGGAACGGTCTTGGGAAAATTCTGGCACATTCCAGTTTTCTGATGATGAACTCCAGAGGCTTAGAAGGGAAAAACTGGTGGCAAACAATAACAGAATGCAGGACCAAGGCTCAGGGCCACTGATGGACACATTGTTCTTTCAGCCTTCAGAAGCTGCCCTCGGTGCTGGGCAGGGATCCTTCAGCAACTCCAGCCTGTCCAGAGCATCCGACTCCTCCAGTTCCGACTGCTCCACCAGAGAGCCAGAGCTGGGAGAGTGCATCCACTGCGGACGCAGATTTCTCCTGCCCCGGCTGGAGAGACACTCGAACATCTGCAGCAGGATGCAGGCTTCTAAGAGGAAAGTGTTTGACTCCTCCAGGGCGCGGGCCAAGGGCACAGAACTGGAGGAGTACTTGAACTGGAAAGGAAGCGCGGCATTCGTCAAGGTAACAAGGGCTGCTTGCACTTGACCGCGGGGATGGTTGGGAGGGCCAGTGAGAGCCTCACTGGCTTTCTGTAGAAAAATTTCTTTGTGTTGAGAGAAATTGAAAGCGAGGGCTGGAGAGATAGTACAGTGGGTAAGATGCTTGCTTTGCCCATGGCCGACCTGGGTTTGATCCCCAGCATCCCATTATGGCCTCCAGAGCCTCATCAGGAGTGATCCCTGAGCACAGAGCCAGGGGAAAAGTCCTGAGCAATGCCAGGGATGAGACTGAGATTGAATATATACTGATGACTACTGCTATGTGGTGCTGTGAACTTTTCCTGTGGTATTTACCATGACTCGGTGAGGATTTAGTTCTTTACTAGTTCAAACATCAGGTCTCAGAGATAAGTAGTTTGCTTGAGATCACAATTTTATTTTGGGGGTCTCCCATGCAGTGCTGGCCCTCTGAGCTTTGTCTCCAACCTGGGATCACAACTTGAAATGGCTGAGTCATATTGATTTTCAAAATTTAGATGCAAACAGACAGACAAGATCCTGTGAACCAGAGAAATTGTATAGAAGTTCAGGCACTTGCATGGAGCCGCCCCTGGTTCAATCTCTGAGCACCCCTAAGAGTGATCCCTGATAGTTGCTGGGACATTTTATGATTGAAACCCAATCACGAACAACTTTGTAACTGCAAATCTCATGGTGATTCAATTTTAAGGAAAAGATAAAAAAAGGGATTCTTGGGCATGGAGCCAGGAGTAAGCCCTGAGCATCACTGGGGTAGACAAAAACAAAACAAACAGAACCCCCTCCTCCACCCCCCCGCCCCGCCACCACCACCACCAAATCCTCTGGAACTGGGAATGTAGCTCTGTAGTAGAGTGCCTGGTTTACATGTGAGAGCCTGGGTTCCATTCACAGTCCATATGCCCTTTACTCAGAGTCTCCTAAATGTTTTTTTGACTATATATAAAAGGAAAGTTTACTGTAGAAAATGTAAAAACTATGAAATATATAAAGAAAAACAATGTGAAACATTTCATCACCCAAGAGAATTCTTTGCTTTTTTGGTAACTGCTTGGCCACCTCCCAGACTAGCATCTGATCACTCTTATGATGGGATTGATTTTTTTGTGTGTGTTTTTATATGTTTTGGGGGCCATACCCACCAATGGGCTATAGCGATAGCACAGCGGGTAGGGCGTTTGCCTTGCACTCAGCCACCATGGCCAACCCGAGTTCAATTCCTCCGCCCCTCTTGGAGAGCCCGGAAAGCTACTGAGAGTAACTCGCCCGCATGACAAAGCCTGGCAAGCTACCCGTGACGTATTCGATATGCCAAACACAGTAACAACAAGGTCTCACAATGGAGACATTACTGTACCCGCTTAAGAAAATTGATGAACAACGGGAGGACAGTGACAGTGACAGTGACCCACCAATGCTCAGGAGTTACTCCTGACTCCGTGCTTAGGAATACTCCTGGTGATGTTCGGGGACCGTATAGGATGCCGGGGATGGAACCTGGGTTGACAGCGTGCAAGGCAAATGCCCTACCCGCTGTGCTATGACTCCAGCCCCATACTGGAATTTATCTCTTAAGACTGGCTATTTTAATATACAGAACTACCATGAAATTTGGATTGCATCCAGCTCCGCCCTCTCTCCCTCCCCTTTTAGAGTGCAAACCCCTTAACGGCAAAGAGATTTCTTTTTGGTTATCTTTCAAAACTTTTCTGGCTGCAGGAAGACTAGGTTGTAAAAAGTGAGGACTCCAAGTTCAGGAGAATGTCACAGACACATTTAGACAATCCTGATCTGGAGAGTATTGCCCATAAATTAGTCTACAGCCTTGTCTGGGGCCTGCCTCCTGATTTGTATGTTGATTGTTATTCAAAGAGAAGTCTGCTTACAAGATTGTTTTATTGGTTTTAGTGTATTTGTATGGAATACAATATAACAATAATAATCCCATGATTCCCAGGAATCATAAATTTAAAGGTAACAGGAATAATTAGGGGAATAGAGTCAAAGTGGCAAGCCAAGTAAATTTTTGAAAAGCCTAGACCATGTGATTCAAAAGCACAGTTACATATTTAGCAAAATGACTGCTATTCTGTTTTCATTTTATTCTCACCTTCTCTGTGCTGTGTTAGCACTTCCTTTCTGTTAGCACTTTACAGTTGATGTGTGAAGTTACTGGAGCCTTTAAAAACTACTATTTATGTGATGAGACTGAGACGTCTACAGAAAATACTCCGTTCCATTTGGAACCAGAACCTGGAGATGCTCTTTCTGAAATCCCATTTCCACAAGAAGTCAACATTTTGTTCTTGTAGATAATGATGTGATCACTAGTTCCTGTTCTTTCCTGTTTTCTTTCTAACCACCCCAATAATGCGCTGGGGTAGTCTCTGACCATCTGGAGCACTTTGATCCTGGCCAGAATCAAAACACTAAAAAGAATCTTGTGTTTCTTGTGTTCTCAAATACAGTAGCAGTGAAGCCAAAGAGCTGGACTTTGAGATCAGATCCAGAAACATGTTTGAGGGAAAGTGTTGCCTTGAGGGGATTAAGGGAGGAAGGACCAGGGCTGAGGGTATCCTGTCACCAGGCTTACTCCAGAGCTCCAGGCCACTCCTCTGGCCACTGCTGTCATAACTGGTGATTTTTCCCTTTCTCTTCAATCTTCATAGAACTTCTAGCAGACTCCCACTTCAGGTCTCTACTGGACATTAAGCATTTGAACACAGGGACAGTTCTGTGCTTTGTGATTAATGTGTGAACTGAATAAAATTTCAATACAAAATTCTTTCTTTTTTTTAACGGTGAAGTTTTTGACTAAGTATCATATAGTTAAGGAACTTAATTTTTAAAAAGATTCCAGATATCATATCTTAACAACCGATTCTCTTGCTGTCTTTTCTGTTTGAAGTGAGATTTTTCTGGTGGCACCTTCCTTTTCCTTGGAGAGCATCTTTTCCTGTTATCATTAAGGATGTCAGATGACCAAGCAGTTGTCTTTTTACTCCTTTTTAAAATTTAATATAGGAGCCAGAGCAATAGTACAGTGGGTAGGGCGTTTGCCTTGCACGCAGCCAACCCAGATTCTATCCCCGGGATCCCATATGGTTCCCCAAACACCACCAGGAATAATTCCTGAGTGTAGAGCCAGGAGTAACCCCTGAGCATTGCTGGGTGTGGCCCAAAAAGCAAAAATAAATAAAAATTAAATGTTAAACAGTTGAGTACATTTTAGAAGTCACACATGTAGTGCACAGTGAACAGTCATACCTTGTTCTTCTCCCACTCTGGATCTAATCCCCAGAGGCAGCTTTTGCTTCATTTTTGTATATATATGTATATGTGTGTGTGTATATATATATAATATATGTGACACATATACCTCTCTCCTACATGTGTCCATATTTTGAGATAATAGATTTTCTTGACTGAGCACATTATCTGCTGGCTTCCTTTTATGGATAGTGTTGGTTAAGCTCTCTTTTATATCCCTTCCTCTCCCCTGCATTGAACCATCTTGGGTTAAATTAGTAATCAGCTTTTACACTATATTGACCAGGTAAATTTTGTTCATAAGTGAACATGCCGACCGCCCACACAACTGGAGTTAATAACTAACTCATGCTTTCATTTGCTTGGTTTCCTGCATACCTGTCTCTCATACCTGTTAGATACCTGTTAATGTTTCTGTAAATCTCAGACATCTCTAATAAGATATTATCTATTGGTTTGGCATTTTTCGGGTTGTATTTTAATTCTGAACACCTGTTCCCCATCTTTCCTTTTCCTTCTCCTTAGTCAGGACTGGCGTCTCAAGGCCTCATGTAGGTCAACCCTGTTGCCTTGGGGTTTCTCTCTGCTTCTCTCCAGTCTTGACCTGGTTGGCTTACTCCTGGCTTTGCTAAGGTTTACTTACAAAGGTAAAATTTTGGTTTTGGAATGAGTGAAAATTTCTCTACAATTTGAGAAATTATATTTGATTGAAGTTTTGGCCAGAATATGGAATTCAAGGTGGAAAATGATTTTTCTGTTAGAACTTTGAGGGTATTTCCACTCCTTTACTGTACACCTGGGTTGGAGCGATAGCACAGCAGGTAGGGCGTTTGCCTTGCATGTGACTGACCCGGGTTGGATTCCTCTTCCCCTCTTGGATACCAATAGTATCCCGCCTGCATGCCAGAGCTTGGTAAGCTCCCCGTGGCATATTCAGTATACCAAAAACAGTAACAAGTCTCACAATGCAGATGTTACTGGTGCCTGCTCGAGCAAATTTGATGAACAACGAGACAACAGTGCTACAGTGCTACTGGACACCTAACCAGTGTTGACTGCTGAGGAATCTGGTGCTTTGTGGTTCCTGCCCCATGATTGAAACTCTAATCCCCCTTCCCTTTTTTTCTTTTGTCCCCCTTTTTAAAAATGATTGTTAAAAAATTGGTCATGATTGGGTTTCAGTCATACAGTGTTCCAGCACCTATCCGTCCGCAGTGTACATTTCCCACCACCAATGTCCCCAGTTTCCCTACCAGCCCCCCCCCCCAGCCCCCACCCCCATGGCAGGCACTTTTCTTTCTCTTTCTGTCTCTCTCTCTCTTTCCTTTTGGGCATTAGGATTTGCAGTACAGATAGTGAAAGGTTATCAGGTATATCCCTTTACCTACTTTCAACATTCAGTTCCTGTCCAAAGTGATCATTTTCAACTGTTGAAATAGTGGTCCCTTCTCTATCCTAACTGCCCTTTGCCTGCATACACTTGAGGCAAGCTTCCAACCATTGGCCAGTCCTCCTTTTTTATTTCTCTGAAAGTTTGCATTAGGGGCTGGGGCGGTAGCACAGCGGGTAGGGCGTTTGCTTTGCACGCAGCTGACCTGGGTTCGATTCCCAGCATCCCATATGGTCCCCAAGCACCGCTGGGGTATGGGAGGGGCACTTTGTGCTCAGGGGCCACACCTGGTGGTGTTCAGGGGATCACATGCAATGCTGGGATTCAAACTAGGATCACAGTCACAACTGCATGCAACACAAACACCTTAATCTCTGCACTCTCTTTCCAGCCCCTATATTATTTCTTTCCCTTTTTTTTTTTAAGGAATGTTTGTTTTGAACACCAGTTGATCAGGTGTTGGGATTCCTAGACTAGACATTCTAGATTTCTAATCATTTGTGTGTGTGTGGAGGGGGCATGAGGGGGTGGAGAGGGGGTGGTGGTTGTCACACTTGGCAGAGTGTAGGGGTTCGTTGTGCCAGGGATGAACCCAGCCTCCTGCAGGCTCTCGAGGCCTCGAGCTCTTTCCCTAGTCCCTGATTTTCTTCTACCTTTCATTTTGCTGCCCTCCACCACGCCTCTACCCCCACATCACATTTTTTATTTTGGGGCCACACCCCGGCGATGCTCAGGGATCCTTCCAGGCTCTCTGCTCAGGGGCCATGCCTGGCAGTGCAGGGGTTCCAACTAGGATCACAACTGGGGCTGCATACAAAGCAGGCACCTTAGCCTTTACACTGTCTCTCTGGTTCTCATCACTAATTTTTTTGTCCTTATTTTGTTACATTGCTGTTTGTTTTCTTTTTTTTTTCTTTTTGGGTCACACCCCGACGATGCACAGGGGTTACTCCTGGCTCTGCACTCAGGAATTACTCCTGGCGGTGCTCGGGGGACCCTATGGGATGCTGGGAACAAACTGGGCCGGCTGCGTACAAGGCAAATGCCCTACCTGCTGTGCTGTTGTTCCAGCCCTGTTATTTTTCAAACTTTTAATTTATGAGAATTTTTGTCAAGCTACTTCTGACATATTCAATATGCCAAAAACAGTTAACAAGTCTCACAATTTGTTGTGAAACGTTACTGTTGCCCGCTGGAGCAAATCAATGAACAACAGGAGGACAGTGCTACAGTGCTACATAGTATGTGTATTCTTGTTGACACCATGGTTTTGGTAAAATTTCTTTTCCTTTTTCTCCGACTCCCGGCCTTGCTGCCGCTCCCCGAGTCTGAGCTCCTGTGTCCGTGTGCTTGTTCGGGGCTCGCTCATGCTCACGCTCGACTACCCAGGTCCCAGCTGAAGTGGGGCTTGTGGGCGAATGGCCTCCTAAAGAGTGAGGCTGTGGATCCATGAGCCCTCATTTGCAACTTTGGCAGTGCTGGGGCAGGAACCTGGCCTGACGACCCTTTATGCTGGGACCCCTCCGAGTTCACGCCCGGTGGCTTTCTCTGCGCTGCTCCATTTCCTCAGAGTGCCTCGCCTCCTGAGGGGCCAGGCCTGCACTCTGGGAGCTGACTCGAGGGAGGGAGGCCTGTCATCCGCCCCGCACTTCTCCTTAGCTACCATTTTCAGCCCCAGAGGATTGATCTCCTGAGTGTGAAACTGGTCCGGTCAGTCCCAGCAGGGAACAAGCGGCAGCTGTCCCACGGAGGTGTGGAAAGGCAGCTGCCTGCTGGGATTCTGCTGGGGAAAGCTCCCCAGGTCCCGGGACCGCCTCTGGCCACTCAGTCCTGGTGCCCCATGGCTTGCCTGGCGGCCGAGGAGGGTGACAGAATAAACGCCAAGTTGAATGATCAGCCTGCTTTCTCCTCGCAGGCTGAGCCTCCTCCGAAGAGCAACTGGAGACAGAAGCACGAGTCCTTCATCCGCACCCTGCGCCAGGCCCGGGAGATCCAGCAGGTCATCGCCAAAGGCGGAAAGCCCTCGGAGCTGCCGCCTATCCCCCCGGCAGAAAACCCGGACTATGTCCAGTGTCCTCACTGCAGCCGCCACTTTGCTCCCAAGGTGGCTGAGCGGCACGTCCCCAAGTGTAAGACCATCAAGAACCGCCCTCCGCCTCCGAGGAAGCACTGCACCTGAGCAGGGAAGGGCAGAAACCCCCAGGGGCCAGGAGGCGTGCTTCTCCGGCGGTAAACCGGGGTAGAACCCTGGGAGGCACAGTGCAGGGCAATGAGACACCTCCCAGACCAGGCCCGCTGCAGAGGGGAGGCAGAGAGGGAGCTGGGCTTCCTTTGCGCCCCACTGCGAGCTGCGGTGCCTCCATTCTGCCCGAAGGCACAGTGGAGATGCCCACTTGGTCTGCGGGGCAGAAAGCGGCCGCACTAAAGCTCTCTCCTCAAAAGCCCGCCTGTGCCATCTTCCTGCCACATCTCAGCATGTGCCCGTGGTTCCTGTGAACTCCTCCCGCTCCGTAGGAGCTCTCCCCAGCAGAGGCCCAGGCTCGCCAGGGGGAATCTCTTAGAAAGAGAATGAGCTTTGGCTCCAAGGTCAGTGGAAGCCTTGTTGGACCTCACGGGAGCGGGGTCTGCTGTTGGTCAAAAGCCAGTATGTCAGGTTAGGGCACACCGGACCCTACCCTTGGTATACTGGGTCATTTTTCTTTTCTTGGGGAGGAGAGACAGCCTGCAGGCTCAGGGGCACTCCTGGTGGTGCCTGGGGGAGCATCATGGTACCGGGCCCCCATGGGGCCTCCTGCAAGGGTAACACGGGCTCCAGCCCTCTGCTCGTGTGGCCCTGGGAGCCTCATCTTCGGGCGGGGCCATCACGGTCGGAGTAGCACACTATGTGCTCTGTCGTGGCTCTTTCCAAATGGACTTCATATGTTAAACAAAAAGGCAGACACTTCATTCGCAGCTATTGCGAGCACTCTGCTTTTTCAAATCAGGATGGATAGCAGGCTTTTAAAAAGGAGGCAGCAAAATGACCAGCAAAGCAGGACGCTGCAGGGTTATGTGCCCTGCTGATATGCCGCAGTCAACTCCTAGATCTGAAAGTGAACTTTGCAGGGACAGGCACCAGGCTGTTTTCAATTTTCTGTGTCTGATCATGTCCCGTACAAGAAACCTTTGTAATCAGACACTCGATAAATGAGGTTTTAGGGATTTCAGATTGAACAAGAAAGAATCCTTGACCTGTCCAGTGGGAGAAGGGATTAAGTAATGTCATACTGGGCTAATGTCAGTGCAGATAAGAGAAAGCCAGCACCTCGGAAAGGCTGGCTGGGCTGTCCTCCCAGGAACATTACTCAAACTGTTGTTTTTTTTTGGGGGGGGGGCACACCCGGCAGTGCTCAGGGATTACTCATGGATCTGTGCTCAGGGATCACTCCTGGTGGGCTTGGGGACTACATTGGGTATTGGGATTGAACCCAGACCTGTTATATATAGGCAAATACCCTCCTTGCTATAGTATCTCTCTGGCCCCTCAAATTGTTTAGTTTTAAAAAAAAAAAGGGGAAAAAGTATCTTAATCTAGATACTTAATCTAGACTTTTAGGGGTATTTCACTCAGCAACAGATAAACACTCCTCTGCATCTTCTACTGGGTGTCGGGGCTCACAGATGAGACCAATTTGAAATGAGAGTTTAATGCATTAGCGGTGAAGATGCTACCCTGAAAATAGGGAAGTATTTTAAAAAACAGCATGTTGAATTGCTTTGTGTTCTAAATTGTTGCAAAGGAAAAGAATGATCACATAATAAACTTCTGGTTGAAACCTGGGGCAGAGAACCACACTCTGCATTCCCTGGACACATTTAATGAGGCAGTGTTTCATACACAAGATAAAAGCAAGAGATGGTAAGAATGCCCTGTGGCTGGGCTGCAAAGTGGACTGCTTTGCCCCACAGATGTTTTATTTGGCTGGCATATTTAAAACAGAATGTGACATTTAAAAAAATTGCAGTATAAAAAATGTCTTGAAAACGTGAGAGTTGTAGTAACACTGGGCCAGCAGCAGCTCTGCACAGCACCAGCCAAGTGCGGACCAGAATCAGTTGTGGACCAGAGAGAGTATAGGAGTCATGGTGGCATTTGCCTTGCACGTGGCAGACCAGGGTTCAACCCCTGGTTACTGCATGTAGTCTCCTGAGCTCTGTGTGTGTGGCCCTAAATCTAAGAAAACGAAACAGTGGCTGGTTCTGACTAGACAGAGTGCTCACATCCTTGCTGGCCAACTGCAGACTTTGCTGGTTGCCTTTGGCCTTGGTCAAAGGGATTTCCCCACAGGCACTGGACTTTAGGATGTCTGAACCAAGACCAAAGATCAGGGCCCTCAAGGGAGAACAAATGTGTGTCTGGAGGGAGCAGGAGTCCATTCTTACATTGCCAAAGAGGCCCTCAATGACAACATATTTAAGCCTGGTTTTATTGGAAGTATCTATTGTATTTTAAATTTAACTTCATCTGATCTTTGGGATGAGGTAAGAATTCCAAGATGGCGGAGAGTAATTGTGTAAATGCATGCTGCTGGTAATGTCCAGGCACCATGGCCATTTAACTAAGGAACTTTAGTACATACGCTTTCAACTTCAAAGTTCAAAAGATTATGGGTTTTGGTGTCAGAGAGACAGTGGACAGGGTCCTTGCCTTGCAAGTGGCCAGCTCAGGTTCAATCTCCGGCACCCTGTAAGATCCTGAGCCCTGCCAGGAGTAATCCCTAAGGAAAAACAGGAAAAACCCTGAGCATCACTGGGTGTGGCTTCAGAACAAAATGAAAACTAAAGGACTGGAAAGATGTCATGGTGAGAATCCCATGGAAAAACATTATATTTCAAAGTGTATGCAGATATGCTGAGATAATCTTCTCTCAAAGTTGAATGTTTAATAAAACAGGACGTTTGGGCCAACATTTATTTGCTTTTGGCCATCAACTTATCACTCGTCACAACTGTGCAGAAGGTAGAGATGTTGTTAGGGTGTTTTTCTTCCTAATGTTCAGAATTCTGGGAGGTTTGGTGACCAGCATGTTTCTTTCCATAATCACTGCAGCCAATAAAAGATTTTTGCTTTGCAGCAGGAAGGAAAATATAGTCCTGACTATAGTCTACTCTTGTCTGATACTACCATACATACCTACCTTGGAGGCCCAAGAAGGCATTTAATTGAGTTTACTTACAATACATCCTCACTCCAGAGTTGTTCTATTATGGATCTTTCTAAATATATGGTAAGCCAAATGAAATGTGAGTTGAAGGCTACTTTTGCTTTAAATGTAGTGGAATACTTAGCTAAGAGATGTTATACCTTGGCTGTGTCACTCAGGAGACAAGTACAGTTCAGTCTCTTTGAGGGAAAAGGTTTATAAATACCAGCTGGCATTATCACTTGGAAAAGCTCGTGAGATTGAAGAGGTAAGTACAAGAGGGTCTTCCTCTTCTAATGGCTCCTCCGCTCTCCTCCCAGCCCCTCCCTTTATTTTAAGCACTGTATTTTATAACTTCTGGGGAGAAAACTAGCAGAAATAATTGTTAGCAAGAAAAAGAAATCAAAAAGAAAAGGCAAAGACTTATTTCTGTTACGACTATTTATATAATATAAAGACTCACTGAATCAGACTCAGAAACGCCTGGAACCTAGTCTTTTGTCCCTACCTATGGAAGGCCTGTATGCAAGCTTACTGAAGCAGAGAACTCATTGAGAGTTTAAACGTTTATTTAAAACAGAAATGCCAAACCACTTTACCTTCAACCTTTCAAATAGCCTAGCTCACAGTAAGCTGCTTCTGTGGCAACAGTGTCAGAGCAGAGGGGTATCTCAGGTTATACTTTAACTCAAAAAAGCATTACTACTGGAAAACTTAAAACACTTCGCATAAGGAAAAGAAAACAGGACAAAATATAAGAGAATGAGTGATGACAGAAAACCACTCAAAGGCATTTCTGCTGCCTCACACTTTATCCACTGCCACCTTTGAATTGGTTCCTGTTTGCATAGCTGTTTGGTGGGAAATATCATACAGCCGTGTCAGGCACAATCAAAGTGCAAACTGTCTCTAAAGGCACAGAATTTATATTCTCAGCCAGATTAACAGTAAACCTAGACTTCCCAGGGGAACATGCTAGCGAGCATGACCACTGCGCTCTGCTGCTGGCGGATGACCCCGGCCCTGAGCAGCGTGCTCCCCCTTTTGCGTTCCGCAGGTCCACGGCAGGGTCAGTGCGTGTCAGCTAGACCCACAGGGCCCCCGCCTCTCAGGCCTGCTGAGATGGTGAGCATGGGGGCTACAGAACAGGAAAGGCCTTCAATGATTAAGTCCTCACAAGAGTCAAAGTTGCATTCACATGATGAACCGGAACCCACTGTCAGGGTGTATAGCAAACTCCCACGTCCCCAGAACTTGTCACCTTTCTACAGGGTTGGGCCCTTCCCTTATTTTAAGGAAAGGCTTCAGTGATTACATTAGTACCATTGTACTAGGCTTCCCAGAATTGAGAAAACAATGGGAACATCAAACCAAAAAGATCCCATTGAACAGAGTTGCCCATCCCAGCCATGAGTTTCCCCCAAGCACCTGCCTTTACTCTACCAGTTTTAGAGAAATGGCTGAAATTTCATAGCACATTCTTTGAAAATGTTGAACATATTCCCAAACTTACTTTTTTTTTTAAGTATGGGAAAATGAAACAAAAATTCATTTAAGGAGAGAGGATGTGAGATTCACCAAAGCACGTCTTATAGAAAAGAACATTTCATAAGGCTAGGTGAAACACAGCTCACATCCTTAACACTGGCCTCAACTGGAAGAAATTCTATTCTTCTAGGACACTATTGCTCCCTTTGGAAAGCTGACTCGCTCCTGCCTACCGGGACACGACAGCACGGGCACAGAGGGGAGCTCTCGGCCAGGTTCTTTTCTTTCACTTGGCAGGTTCTACCTGTTCAGCGAGGCTTCCTGGACTACCAGGGTTTGGTGCTGGCTTTAGGCTACTCATGGAGGAAAAATGAGACAAACTCACTGATACGGCTTCATAAAACACCGAAAGGGGAAAAATACTGACTAGACATATGGGAAGGGAGTGGCTGGGGCCAGCTGCTACCCAAACTCCAGGAGCCTGAAGGTGACGGGTGGGCAGAAGGCTCTGTCACCCGAGGCCTTCCAGTAAAGGCAGCCAAAGGGGACCTCTTCTCCCTCATGTTTTTCTTTCTCCTAAAAACCTGGATGTTAAAACCCCACTGACTCAATTCCTATCAGACACCTCATCTCTTAGGTCTCTTCCACAGCGAGACAAGCTTACCCTGTACTGGCCACAGCCTGAAACTCCAGCTCTGGGACGTGGAGGGCCCTGTCCTTTCCCCTCTACTCCTTACTGAAGACATTTCAGTCAGCCCTCAGAGGGAAAGCTAAGCCCACTTTCCCCCTCAAGCATGGAGCTGCATGAAGTGACTGAACTTTCTAGATCGACTACACAGACACCTTTTCCTGTACTCAGGGATCCCGAGAGGGCTCTGAGCCCTTTGACCACTCTCCGGGGGACCCTGAGCGAGCCAGGCTTGGTTCCAGCCCATTTCAGCTTCACACTTTCCCTCCTCCACCCAGAGGTGCAATGCCTGGTGTTGAATCCCCGAGGCAGCTTCCAGGTAATGGTGAAATGATGAATGGGATATAAGCTGCTACCAGTGAAATTAAAGTGAGCATTGTGTCTCCTCTTCAAAGGTGGGGTCCCAGATGAGGTACAGAGCTGCTGTTGCTATGGCAGTCAGGACAAAGCCAGGGCCACGGGGCCCTTCCATCCTCCAAACAAAACCACTCCTAGATCCTAGCTAAAAGGCAACGCCACTCTCCCAGTGTCTGTGGAAAGTGCTCCAGACCCTCCGCCTCGCGCTCCTTGTCTGCAAGTGAACAAAGCCAGGAAAGCGCGCTCTGCATTCAGTAAGTGTGCTGTGAAGTTCTCTGCGCCCCAGTTTCCTGGAGGCTACACAGGCTCATGAGACTAGAGGCTGGGTCGACAGGAGTCTGTTCCTAGGAGGCACCAGGAATCGGAATCTAAGTCAGGCTTTGGATCCATCTCCATTTCTTCCTTTGCTGTCTGCGTTCCTTTGGAATGCATCCCCACCTGTGCAGGTAAAACACAGTTCCCATTAACAACACGGCCACCACCAACTCACAGCAGTTCAGGATAGATTTTCTTTTTCCTATTTTTTTGTTTTTTGGGCCACACTTGGCAATCCTCAGGGGTTACTCCTAGCTCTGCAATCAGAAATCACTTGGGGTCCATATGGAATGCTGGGGAATCAAACCTGGGTTGCATGTGCAAGGCAAATGCTTTCTCTACTGTGCTATTGCTCTGGCCCTCAGGAGAGATTTTCAATGCCAAACTTTTATGTTTTTAGTGTAGGAGAGAAGGGGGAACCATACCTAGCATTGTGCTTACGGGATCATGCAGTTCTGGGGATAAAACCCTGGGCTCCTACACAGAAAACAAGAGCTTGAGGCCCGGACACCATCTCCCTTGGCCTTAAGCATCAGACACTTAATAGTTTTGTGAGAAGTCATAAAACTCTTTTTTGGGACGGACAGAGGGCACACCCAGTGGCACTCAGGGCTTATTTCTTGATCTGTACTCAGAGATCGCTTCTGGCAGGCTTGGGAGATCATATGAGGTGCCAGGAATTGAATTTGGATAGGCTGTATGCAAGTCAAGAATCTCTACTGCTCCTCACAATACTATTTTTAAAAATTTTTTGATCGAAATCTTCATGCCTGCTACAGCTGTCAGTCACCCAGGCTTAACTCAAGAGTTCTACTTTCCAGAGTACTTTCATAGACCTTACTTTACTTAATCCTCAAAATCATCATACAAAGTGGAAGGTAGTATTTATTCTCTTAGGTAAGAAACCAGGGCTCACAGAAACAAAGGAATTTTTTTCCAACTACATATAGCTGGTAAATGGCAAAGCCAGAGACTGAACCACATTTCCCAGTCCTGGCTCACTGTAAGAAAACACTAGAATCAGTATCAGCATCATTAGACCTATGAATATTTGTTCCTAAAACATTTAATAAGTTGGCTCTAATCAAGTCTTAAACCTAACTTCTAATAGAAATAACAGGGGAAAAAAGAGAATAAGCAGTGCCCCAGGAAAACCAGCCTCATCCAGAATGTGGGAAATCTGTGTTAAAATGACCAGCTTCTTAAAGTCAGTAACTGAAAATGAAATTCTATCTATCTATCTATCTATCTATCTATCTATCTATCGATCGCCAGAGAGAGAGCACAGAGGGTTAGGGTATTCCCTTGCTCGTGAACGTCCAGGTCCAAATCCCTGGCACTGCATATCCCCGGGGCACCACTTGGAGCAATCCCTGAGCACTGCTGGGTGTGGGGTACCCTCCCCTGTAAAGTTTATACTGTAACGCATCCATGGTGTGTTTAAAATGTGTGGGTATAGATGTATGTATATATACATACACACATCTATGTACAGATAGATGTATATTATGTCTAAATATACATCTAGACCCACATTTTATTTATAAACATTTTAACACATTTAACACATTTTAAACACACATCTGAAACATACATTAACATGTTAAAATTTGTTGGATTGAGATGGTGCACATATGGGAATTCATTGAATTGTAACAGCTAATGTGTTTTAGAGTAAAAAGTGAAAGGAAAAAAAGTACCCAAAACATGGAAATTAGGGGATAAAAATGATTCAATCCAGTGCCTGAGCCAGGGCCAAGACTTCTGGGATAAATTACAAAAGTTACATCAAACCAAAGGTAAGTATTTCAGAGGACCAAACCCATTCCGATCCTTGGTGTTTTATTTTTGGGATTCTTTAAAACAGAATTAGAAATCATTCTTTTTATGCTCTCACCTGCTGCCCCACTTCCAAATTCTTGTTCAGCTTCTGCAGCTGGGTACAGATCTGGAGGTTTTCTTGCTGGAGCTTCTGCTGTTCAGCCAGACACTTGAGCAACAGCCCCTGCAGTCTCTCGACCTCCGCCTGCAGAGTGCTGCAGGCGCACGGAGACGGCGGTGCCGGCACGCCCTTCCTGGCACCTGTCCCCGCAGCAGGCAGCCGAGGCGGCTAACCAGAGAAGAGAACAGGGTCACAGTTTGCCAGGTGCCACAGCTTCCCAATCCCAACACCGCCCAAATGCTCTCAGATTTTATTTGACAGGACAAGGACACGGGTCGGGGAGACAGCTCCAAGGGCTGAAGCTTTGCCAGCAGGAGCCCTGGCCTCACACCCTACTACATGGTTCCCCCAGCATGGTCAGGGACAACCTCTCTCCACAAAGGTACTAGGATAAAACATGCGAGACAATCAGAAAATGTACACTAGCAGAAAATGAACAGAGCCCCGAATTTAGTCCTTGGCACCACCACCAAAGAAAGGGAAGAGGAAAATTCAGATTGCTAGAAGAAATAAGAAAACTTTTGAAACAGTTTGGTCGTCAGCACCACATATGGCCCTGCAAGTCCGAAGAGGCGGGGTGTAGCCCATAACCCCGCAGAAAAAGCAAGAAAGGGAAAAATCCTTTGGGGGCTGGAGAGATAGTATAGAAGAATGTTTGGCCAAAATTACAGTAGTAATAGCTCAAACCTAACAGGTCAAGAGAACAGTGTCTACGATGCCATTATAATGAGGTAAAAAAATCATGTTTCTGAGATCTTTGCAAAAAAAAAAAAGTAAACACTTTAATATTCCTTAAAACATGCCGAACCCCACCCCCAAGGTAATCCCAAACATTTACTTTGAAGTTTCAAGGGTCTCTGTTTTGCTTTGGGGCAACAGCTGGCAGTGCTCAGGGCTTCCTCCTGGCTCCATGCTTAGGGATCACTTTTTACCTTTTTTTTTTTTTTGTCATACCCGGTGATGCTCAGGGCTTACTCCTGGCTCTGCATTCTGGAATTACTCCTGGAGGTGCTTGGGGGACCATATGGGATGCTAGGGATAGAACCCAAATTGGTAATGTGTAAGGCAAATACTCTACCCACTGTACTATGGCTCTGGCCTGTCAGGGATCATTCCTGGGGGATCTCAGGGAATCATATGGAGTGCTGTGCACTGAACCTGGGTTGGCCAAATGTTCTATCTGCTATCCCATCTCTCCAAACCTCAAAGTGTTTTTCCCTTTCTTGCTTTTTCTGGGGGTTATGGGCTACATCCTGCCTTGTGGGACTTGTGGGGTCATGTGTGATGCTGGGGACCAAAGTGTTTCAAAAGTTTTTTTTATTTCTTCTAGGAGTTTGAATTTTCCTCTTCCCTTGTTTTGGTGGTGTCAGGGACTGGATTCAGGGCTTTGTTCATCAAAGTATACACTTTACCACCTTCACTGTCTCCCTGGTTCTAAGCAAACTTTCTTACACTTGGTATCTTTAACCCACCCTACCAGTGTCAAGGAGAAAAAGGATTTACACTTAGGGATGTCAAGTCTGGGGTTTCTAAAGTAGAGAGGAAAGATGAGATGACCATCTGGTGTGGAAAGTTGTTACCCTGTCAAAAAGGAAAGGGCAGCAACTCGGGTTAGCTCTGACGTGCTACTGCACAGGGTGGTGAGCAGAGCAGGTGGGAGACTAGGGAAGCTAGGGAGGGGCCAAGAATCTAGCAGAAGCGGCAGCCACTGCTATCTTCATGGAGACCCAGAGGGGAAAAGCTCACCCAGGCCCCGGCTGCGGGCTTGTTTTCTGAGGGCGCCTCTGAGGCCACTTTCAGTTCCTGGAGCTCTTCGTAGGGCAAGGTGTCTTTCTCAGACTCCGAGAAGGCTGCACTGAGGGGAGACGAGCTGTTGGGCATGGGGATGAACTCAGCATTTTCCAGCTCCTAGGCACACCGGGAAGAGTCTCATCAGTTTGGTTGCAGGTATCCCCTCTCCTGCCCCGCCCCTCATTTTCATGACATCAGCACCCCCTAGTGGGGCAGGACAGCTGTGGGTACAGCACGGAACACCCGACCTTTCAACAGCATGTTCTGCACTGCTACCCACTCAAAACTAAGACTCCAGAACAGTCTGGAATGTCTCACACGGTTTTCCCACATACTTCCTCTACACGGGAAGCTGTGGCTTGGCAGTGAGGCTGACCGCCAGGCGGCTAGATGCCAAAGAGATGGAGCCACTTCCTCCTGCACGCTCCTAAGCGCGATCAAGTTCCGCTTTGTCAAACGAAGTTTGAAATCAACCGTACCAGCCAGTCATCTATGTAGATTTTGTATATGTCTGTATGTATCATCTGTCTAGACTGTGTTTTGTGTGTGTGTAGAAAATAAGTACCAACTATTCCATCTTCAACTGATGATGACTGTTCAAATAATAATTATGCATTACATATTTTCTAAAAGAATCCATGATACCACACAGTCATTCTTTTTTTAGTTTTTTTGTGTGTTTTATTTACTTATTTTGCAGTGCCAGGACTCAAACCCAAGGCATCATACACTGCTCTTACTCAACATTTTTTTCTTGTTTTTGCCATACCAGGTGTTGCTCCTGGCTCTTTTTCTTTTTCCTTGTTGGGTCACACCCAGGAATGCTCAGGGGTTACTCCTGGCAGTGCTCAGGGGACCATATGGGATTCTGGGGATTGAACCCGTGTGAAGGCACGAGCCCTACTCACTGTACTATCGCTCCAGCTCCTCAATGTTTTGACCATCTGTACTTCAACTTTCATGTTTCATTCTAATTATCCCAATATTCAACTTCTACAGACCACAGTACTAAATGAACCGGCACAGTTTTTACACATTCAGATCACAAAAACTGCACGCAAGGCTTAATTTACATCCAAAGATTTCCTATCAATGGGCACTGGTGAAAGGATGGGTACTCAATCATTGTATAACTGAAACCCAAGCACAAAAGTTTGTAAGTCTACAACTGTACCTCATGGTGTTTCACTAATAAAAAAAAAACCCCAAAACAAACAAACAAACAAAAAAACACCCAAAGATTTTCTATCTCTTTGGGAAGTAAAAAGGACAGCAAAACCGGAGATACTGTTCCAGGTAGAGCAGCTGCCAGATAGATAAAGGGATGTCTGGGCTACTGAGAGGTCCTGACAAAGGAATCTGTACAGAAGGCATTACCTTTCGAAGCCAGCCTGGACAGGAGCTGCTGGCCCCACTGCTGATGCCCACGGCCTCCGTGGGACTGACTAAACCTTCTATTCCTCGGTCTGCTTCCATTGTTCCTCGAAAGCCTCCACTCGGATCAGGAGTTTCCGATTCCTGTTGACTGTCTTCCTCTTCTCCCCCACCGCCGCTTCCTGGGCCAGAGCTCTGTACCACTGACATACACAGCACAGAAGTAAAGGGTTTGTTACAGCGTACGGACAGCTGCCACCTTGCACCCCCAGAGAACCCCTACAGAGGTTCTTAGAGTTGCATGAAGAGGAATAACAGTTTTATATATATATCTATATGACTATATTTTTAATTCTTGTACAAGGTACATGAATATTTTCATATGAAAATTCCACTGCTACTTCCCAGACATGCTTACCTCTACACCGAGCGCACTTTATCCATGTTCTAAAGCATCACGGAACGGGCACCCAACAATGGTCAACAATGGTCCAAGCCTAGTATACTACTTTAACAGAGATATTCAACTCTAGCACCCTTAACTGAGGCTTGTCTTGTACAAAAAGCTCTTTAACACCTGAGTTAGAGATGTTTACTCTTGAATTTTCACCTAGCTATTCTGAAGCTTGCAGAACTAAACTGGTGCTTCCCAATATAGCAGCACTAGCCATACACAGCACTTATTTTTTAAATAAAAATAAAAACCCAGTCAGTGCCTCAATCACAACAGGTTTTTTTTTTCTTCTTTTTTTGGGTCACACCCAGTGATAACCAGGGGTTATTCCTGGCTCTGTGCTTAGGAATTACTCCTGGTGATGCTCGGAGGACCATATCGGGTGCTGGAGATCAAACCCGGATTGGCTGCATGCAAGGCAAATGCCCTTCCTACCATCACTTTAGCCCCATGAGCCACTTTTCAAGTGCTTAACAGTCCCATGTGGCTAGAGGCTACTCAGATGGCCAGTGCAGACAGCGAGTATTTATACTGCTGCAGAAAGAGCTACAGGGAAGTGCAGAACCAGAGTATCACCTTATTGTTCTATCCCTTGCCTTGAATTCTCTTCCTTCTCTGGCCTGCAACCCAGATGGAACTACTACATAACTCTGTATTTATTATTTCTATTTTTATTTTTGGGTCATGCCCAATGGTATGAGTCTACTCCAGGCACTACTACTTGGTGGCCCAGGCAGTGCCAGGGACCAAACCAGAGGCTCCTACATACAAAACATGAGCTCTGGTCCTCTGAGCCATTTCTTTGGTCTTGGGTTTATCATTTTTTTGGTTGGCTGGTTTTGGATCCTCATCCTGGAGGGTCTGAGCGCTTCTGGGTGTGGCCCCCTCAACATCCCCAAAATCTTTTCAGGGTCAGAGAAATAGTTGACAGGACTGCACATATGATTTGCATACAGGAGACCCGGGCAGATCTCCTGCACCACACGGTCCCCTAGGAAATGTCAGGAGTGAATCTCAAGCAGAGTCGGGAGGATCCCATGAATATAGCTGAGGCCCCAAATCAACCCCCCACCCCCACTGCCCCATAAGAATTTTTAATTTTCCAGCAAGACAGCTTTGCTTAGGAAAGATATGTTTGTTATGATGTGTGACAGTAATATGAACAAAGAGATACTGAGCAAAAGGAAACTAACAAAAGATATGTATATGTGTGAACTAAAGTTCAACTCCACATCTAATTTGAACTGTTTCTTTTTAGAAAGATTAATCTTTTTATTTTGGGTCCTTATTCTACAAAATATCAGAATACAGTTTGTGAAAAATAAAGTGTTCTAGCACTGGAACACTAGATGTGTTCTAGCAATGGAAAACTAGAAAGGAGTAAATATTCGGCTTCCTGGCAATTCCAAATAACAAAGGCCCATAGATAAAGCAGTGAAAAGAACACAATCAGAATCTGGTTTTGTAGCACTATTTCCACACACAGGAATTACCCCTGGGAAGGCTGTGGATCTAAAGAGCAGACAGAATCTATAGTCTACCAAGGACAGGAACAATGCATATTCACATGACAAAGTTGGACAAACCACTTAATTACTTCCATATGCTTGGTGGCAAGGATGTACTCTCTAGCTTTGACCACAATGTAAAAGTTTTTACTGCGAAATCTACCCAAATAGTATTCTTCCTCTTGACCACTGTATTCCGCATTTCCCAAATATATATTCTGTTAACCTTTTTGGGAAGACTGTGAAATCCAACCCAATGGCCCACACCTCAGAAAAGCACTGGTATCCAAGCCATGGCTACTTACCAGTTCTGATGGATAAGCTGCTGCTATTGGAACGGATGGTCTTGGAATTCAATACTTTCTCTGAGGAAAAATATTCAGTACATAAGCACTCTTTATAGGCACAAACCGGAAAAGAAGACTCGGACAGGGAGTGAATTTAGGCAATCACCGCTATTTCTGAGTGTAGATAAGTTTATGGTTATTTACATTTTAGATTTTCATATGAAAGTCAATACTAGCTACTCTAGACAGATTCACCATGTAAAGCAGTGGCTCTCCAGAGTGGCTGTTCTCTGAGTGTCTGGGAAACCAGAAAGCACCCATGCTTCGGTGCCAATCCCGAGACTCAGATTCAATTTGTCAGGGATAGGGTCTAGGGAATAGGATTTCAAAAAGGCCCTCCGCCTCCTCAAGCGACTCTTAAATTCAGCTGGTTTTGACCTGATCGTTGAAAGAATGAACGTATCGTGAAAGGTCACACGGGCTTTTATAAAAATCTAGTTCATAACAAAGTCAGCCTTAGGCAGAAAGCTGTCACAATTTAGTTTCTACAGGTGGACGGAACATTATCCACAAAGCTTGAATACAAATAATAAATAGATTATTAGAATTAGCACATTCTAAGGTGAGGCGGGCTGAGCCCAAAGATATGTGACACTGGCCAGCTTGGGACGCTACTGCATCTGGCCCCTTTAGAACACTTGTTTCTAAGAACATGACCCCATCAAACCTTAAGTGTGGCAGACCCTATCCAAGCCACCCCACCACTACAGATGAAACCCTTACCAACAATGAGGATGGTGTGCCAGCCCCGGCAGGACAGGTCTGGGACATGATGCAGAGATCCAAAAATAGGCCGAGGCCACGAGGTACAGATATCAGAGCCATGTGGTCTGTCTGTGGGGGTCATTGCCAGGCGACCATTACCACCATTGCCCCAAGCAAAAATGTGGTTATCTAGAACAAAGAAATCAAACAACAATAGTTTAATACAACATTGGTTTCCCAGCTCTGGCTTGCCCATCCGTGTGCCTGAGAGCTAGCAAGATTTCCCACTGGATCCCAAACGAGGGAAGGCAGCTGTTTAACCCCGTATCTAGGCTAAACTCTTCCTGATCCCACTCAGGTAATATGACCGTGACTCCTAAGTGCTGCCAATCATTCAACTTCCTCATTAACCTTTGGGGGACTGCCAACCACCTCTCCCTTATACACTTGATGACAGGTTCTGCTCAAGGTATAGGAGATAAGAGCACTGACTAAGAGTTTCTACTCTCTGGTGCTGACATTTGGTGGGAGACATCTATTTAGATAGTTGGAACTTCAGATAGTGTTTCGTGCTATGAGGAAAACAGAAAGAAAAGTGGAACAAAGTAATGGTAAAAAGAGCAAAAGAGGGGTCAGAGTGACAGTACAGCAGATGCTTGCCTTGCATGTAGTCAACCAGGGTATTGGTCCCTGATATCCAGTAGGGTCCCTGAGCACTGCCAGGAGTAACCCGAGTGTAGAGCCAGGAGTAACCCTGAGTACTGCTGGGTGTGCCCTACCCCGCAAACTCAAACAAACAAAAGAACAAAGCAGAAGTAAGGAATAACAGCAGGGTATCATAATTTCGGGTATGGTGGGTAGAGAAGTACTGGCTGACACCTGGGCAGACACCAAGGGGAGAGACAATGTGAATATCTAGGGAAGGATTTTCCAGGCAGAGAAAGCTCAAGTGCAAAAGCCCCAGAGATAACTCTGTGCTTTACAAACAAGGGACATGAAGGTGCTTCAGCCAGGGCAAAGATGGAGAAGGGACAGTGGTTGGAGAAGAGCCTGGAGGTGGCTTGTAGGTTATGGTAATTCACGACTTTTTTTTTTTTACTGGTAGAGGCAGGAAACACCAGAGGGTCAGAGCAGCGGACTCTGCCATGAGCAGACTCTCACAAGGTAACAAGGGCAGTGCGAGGAGAGGAGCTGGAGGAGTATGAGAAGCGGCAGGACAAATTCTGAAGGCAGACAACAGGACTTGCTGATGCACCAGCTGCAGCCATTAAGATGGAGCTCCCATTTACCGAGCTGGGAAGGCAGAAGGAGAAACAGGTGTGGACAGAAAACCAGACATGCAATTTAGCATATAACGTTCATTGGAGATGCCTATAACTTATCTATGCCAGGGCATTTTATAATGAAAATTGCTATTATTGATTAAATTAGGATGACATGAGGCTGTAGTGATAATACAGCAGGCAGGGTGCTTGCCTTGCATGTGACCAAGCCTGGTTCGATCCCTGATATCCTTATGGTCCCCAAGCTAAGTGTAGAACCAAGAATAAGCCTGAGCATCACTGGGTATACACCTCCCCCCCCCCAAAAAAAAAAATCAAACCAACAACCCCTAGGATGATAAGTAGAAATAAGAATGGAACTGATCTGGAAAATTTAACCTATAAAGCTGCTCCTCTTTTATTTATTTACTTTTACTTTGTGGGGTCATGGATGAACTCAAGGCCTTACACATGCAAGATATGTGCTTTACACTAGCCCTCTCCCCCTGCCCCCCAAAGTCACCCTATCTTTTGACATCTAAGATATATAAAACCAGGGGCAGTAATACAAAGTGACCAGGTGCATAGCAGGGATTGAAAGGCATGAGTGCACTCAGCTAAGGAGCAGAAAGAGAGGAGGATGAGCAGAGAGCTGGACATAGCTGTGAGAGCCTGACTCACAGGCCTGCACGGGTCTATTTTATTTGTCCGTCTCCTCTACCCTATGACACAGGAGTCCTCCAGTGGATCTCCTGAGACTCTCTACTTCCAAAGCCTAAAGGGAACCAGGAGCACAGCAGTCTCACTTTATGTTTGCAATGTGAATAAAGGACCAAATAAGGCTCAGAAAAGTACAGAGACATTCATTAAGATATAATATGCCCAGTACTACTCCTGGTTCTGAAATCAGACTTGTGAATTTAACAGATTTAGGAAACAATTATTGGGGCTCGAGTGACGCAGTGGGTTGGATGCTTGCCTTGCATGTGGTCAACCCAGGTTCGATCCCCAGTACCCTATATGGTTCCCTAAGCACTGCCAGGAGTAATCCCTGAACACAAAGCCAGGAGTAAGCCCCGAGCACAAGTAGGTGTGCCCCCCAGCCTCTCAAGACACAAAACCCGAAACTGAAACAAAACACCTTACGTCTTTAAGGCCCAGTTACTAAGTGCTCCTGAACTTGCTGCACCATAAACCTCAGCAACATGTCATCTTTCTAAGGAGCATTTCTATGTACCCAGCAGCATGATACCAACAGCCTGCTCACTAAAGCCCCTGGCATGGAGAAGAGCAGGGAAGGTCCACTGCCCATCTGAAAGCTGGTTCCATTATAAAACAAGGAAACATCACTTATCTGTTACTTAAACTCCTTGTGTGTGAACAGGTCCAGATGAAAGATGAAAGACATCTCAGAGAATGAGTGACAACAAGGAAAGCTGAAATATGCCAGAAGGTAAGAGGAAGTGTGCTAAGGGACATCTCCACCCTGTAGTGGAGGTGTGGTGTTGGCGCAGCATATGCATGAAACCGTGAAACCCTCCCATTAACAGCACTGTAAATCACAGTGCCTAAAATGCATTTAAAAAAATTATTTTTAAAAGATGAAGTGTGCTTTTTGTGTGGTTATCTGTCAAAAGACAGAACTACAAAAAAAAAGAACACAACACTGAGAAGAGAAGAAAAAGGAAACAAAGCGGAAGAGGGAAGGAATAAAGACTAGTGTAAGTTGCAGTAATGATGAGACACGGTGAGCAAGATGCTTCAGAGAAGAAACAGCCCGCAGAGAGAGAACAGACTTTAGCAGACCAACTTGGAGAGAGCAGCACAATGGACACAAATGTTCACCTGCAGAAGGGCCTGAGGATATAACCGCAGTGCAGACAATGCCAACCAACGGGCAAGGATAAATTTGATTATTTTTTCCAGTTAGTCAACTGAGGTTGATTAAAATCAACATGGTTTGGGGCTAGTATTTCATTTTCTTGTTTTGTTTTTGGACCACACCTGGCAGTGCTCAGGGCTTACTCCAGGCTCTGTGCCAGGGATCACTCCTGGTGGGACTCTGGGGACCAATGTAGTGCAGGGAATTCAACATGGGTTGGCCATGTGTAAGGCAAACACACTATCTGCTGTACTATTGTTCTAGCCCTGTATTTCGTAATTCTTAAAACAGGGTCCAGAGGTCACCAGGGGAAGGCACTTGCCTTGTATCCCACTGACCTGGGTTCAAATCCCTGGGATCACATGTGGTCTCTCAAAAATCATCATGGTTAGCCCTCAACACAGAGCCAGGAACAGTCCCTGAGCACCACTAGGTGTGGCCTGAAAGTCAAGGAACCAAACCCAAGCAGACCCAACCCAAAGGACCTGCAACATTTTACAAAAAAAAAAAAAAAAAGTAAAAAAGTGAGGACTTAGAATAATAACTTGCTATTATCTAGAAATTTGACTTTTTAGAAACGTCACTCTCTTACTCATAAAAAAAAAACAAAAACAGTGCTAACTTAATATAAACAAAAAACTAAATAAATATATGATCCGGTTATATAATCAGCTCTCTTTTGCAATCAAAATCAAAACACAATCATGGAGTCCAGAAGGTTCACAGCGACGCGAGACTCACCATCCGTGGCGGCGATGGTAAACTCATCGCCACAGGAGACCCTGATCACTTGCTTCCCACTGAGGGGTCCCGTCAGCACATTGATTCCCAGACGCTTCTTGTAATTGCCAATGCCCAGCTGTCCACACTTGTTGCAGCCAAAGGTCAGGAGCCGGCCTCGCTCTTAGAAAGAAACAAAAACACAGGCCTGAAGGGACATACAATTATAAAGCTAACAACAGGGTCCTAAGCGAGAGCAGTTACAGTATCTTGGAATTATTACCAATTAGACATAGAAAATGACTCAATATTCTATTTTCTCCCTAGTATTCTAACGCAAATGTGAAAAATGGGTACTAATTCGCTCAAAATATTTACAGTAGGTACTATTTTTTGTGGTTTTGGGGTCACATCTGGCAATGCTCAGGGCTTACTCCTGGCTCTGTACTTAGGGGCCGACCATATGGGGAGCCAGGGATGGAAACCTGGGGCCGCTGTGTGAAAGGCAAATGCTCTCCCCGCTTGTTCCATCCTTCTGGCCCACAGAGACTACAGTTGTCTGGAGCTCTAAGTGCGGCATTCAGGTATGTTTCTATTATACATTTATGATTAGTAAAAACCTGTTGTTGAATACCTACCTAATTGTTAATAAGCTAATACTGGGAGGCTGCATGTGGAAGGCTCAAGTTTGATACCTGGTACCACACGGTCCCCTAAGGCCTGCAAGGAGCAATCTGCAAGCACTGTGCAGAGAGTAGCCCATGAACACCACTGGACTCCAGGGAGGCAATCGGGAGAATGTTATATATTGTTAAGAGAGAATACTTGATGAAATGAAATGAGTGAGTCTGGTATGAACACTACATCTGGAAAGGTATGAACCCACAGTCCTAAAATGTATACAGTGTTATAAATTCACATTACCTCAATGAAAAACAAAAACACATAACAAAGCCAAAGCCTAGGCTCTGAGGGCCCCTATCTGTAGGAAATCAACTCACCATCAATAGCAGCTGTGTGAGTCTTTCCTGGGGCAACTGTACGGATTTTATAGAAGGACAACTGTTTGGCCAGAGTAAAGGAGGTTGTGTAGGGAACTTCATGGTATGCCTGAAACAAGGTAAAGCAGAAAACCAAAGCTCATGAGGTTAAAAGAAACTTCAGGGGTAACAGGCTACAAATGCGGCCACAGTGTCAAAAGGCCTCTTAAGCAAATCATTTTACCAAGAAGGTATCCAGGTAGCTTTATCCTCCAAAAGAATTTAAAAAGAAATAAGTCCAATACATATCCAGAAAATTTAGTGTATAAAGCAAAACTTTCTGGGAAAAAGAGACTCTTCAGCAGGTATGCAGAACACAAACTCTAAACCCCTGTTTTTAAATAAAGACTGACATTTATCTTGGTTATACATTCTGCATACCTAACAAGGGCAGGGAAAATAAAGAAAATCCTGAGAACTTTGTTTCACAGTACAAAGCAACTAGATTACTATGATCAGATTTCTACCAGAGGGCAGTGTTTCTCAATGTGTTAAAAAAAAAAAAAAGGAAAGAAAGCATGCTCTGAGGCAAGAAAGATAATACAACAGGTAGGGAGCTTGCCTTGCATATAGCTGGCCTGGTTTGATCCCAGGAACCCCTTCAGTGCCCTGAGCCCTGCCATGAGTGATCAGCAGAGAGCAGAGCCAGGAGTAAGCCCTGAGCACAGCCAGGTATGATCCCAAAACCAAAATAAACAAAAGTGTGTTCCTTTAGATAAGCATTAAAAAAAAAAAAAAGTCCTGCTCTTATTAAATGTAAAACAGGGCCCACAAGGATAGGTCAAAAGGGATGGGACCCTCACTTCGTATGTTCAGGGTTCCTTTATGCCGAACTATGTGGCCAGGTATTACCTAGAGCAATGATCAGGAGAACCCCTGCCACACAAACAAATACGAACTCTTAACTTGCCCATTCAGTCAGGGAACTTTTGCTTTTAATTTCATGCTTTTTTGTTGCAGAATTCGGGCCATCCTTTTTTGTTGTTTTTCAGGACTTACTCCTGGCTTTGCTCAGGGATCATTCCCGACAGCGTTCAGAGGACCTCATGTGGTGTTGGCAATCAAATCCAGGCCAACCGCACACAAGGCAAGCACCTTAACCCCCTACTCTCTTTCTCTGGCCCCTAATTTCATTATCCAGAAAGAGATAAAATTCATTAAACTAACACACAAAAGAGAGACTTAATATCAATGATAAATTTCAAAACATCCTTGAAAGAGAATAGTAGTTATATTCAATAAGTCTATACATACCCAGTAATTTGGGAGAAATAAATCTTCAAAAATTTCCCAGGTAGGTGAGACACAAAAATTAAAAAAAAAAAAAAAAGTTGATTTTCCTTGGGGGGTGGGGTGGCCTCCTGGCAATCTGCATCACATGTCTGGCCTAATTTTCTTGTACCCATTTCAGTGATAAATAAATCTGAACATCATCACTTAATGCGTTGTCATCAAGTTACTGACTTTTGATAATATACTGTATTTTATATCATTTAATAATTTCCTTATCTAATTGTGACACCACCACCCAGACCATCTATAGACCATCACCTTTGATAATTCCCACCTCTTCCGTTAACACATTTTCTCTCCTCTAGAAGTAAACACGATTTTGACTAAGGTTATCATAATTTTGCCTTTTCTTAAAGTTCATGTAATTGGAATCATACAGTATGTACTCTTTTGTGACTGGCATCTTATGGGGAACGTAACATCTGTGGGATCCTTATTCTTTGTTGTTGTTGGCTTTTGTTTTTGGCCACACATGGTGGTACTCAGGGGTTACTCTAGGCTGAGCATTCAAGAATCACACCTGGCAGTGTCTAAGGGACTGGCCGAGATGCTGATGATTAAATCGAGGTTGGCTACATACAAGGTAAGTGCCCTACCTGCTGTACTATCTCTCTGGCCCTATTAGCTTACTTTATTCTTTAGTCAAATTTTATGGCCACTAATCAAATTTCAAGGAAATTTCAAATTAGAGAAGTACTGACAGTTTGTTTTGGACATTCAAGGGGGCACTTACTTCATGGTTGATGATTCCAGACATGCACTGATTCAGACCAAGCTTATTAAACTCATTGAGTCCACAGGCCAGCACTTTGCCTGACTGGGTAAGAAGAAATGTTCCATCACAGCCACACTGAACTGCGACAATAATCAAAGTCTTGGGAACATCCACCTAGAAGGAAAAAAACACAGGAACAAAATCCCCCAATCAGGGAAGATGATACAGAAATCTGTTCTATAGTATGCCCTGCACTTGAGAGGATGACCATCGGAAAGGAAAGGTTGTTCTTTTTTCTTCAGATTTGCTCAGCTTCTCAGAAGACATGATTCCAAGGAGCACACATTTCCTAATCAAATTAAAGAGGTCACTTAAACAGAAAATCCTATCAGAAAATGCTTATCTAGGGGCCAGAATGATAGTATATGGATATGGTATTTGCCTTGCACAGGGTCAGCCTCGGTTCAATCCCCAGCCATATGGTCCCCCGAGCACCGTTAGGATTAATTCTTGAGTACAGAGCCAGGAGTAATCCTTGAGCACCACCACCTGGAGTGATCCCCCAAAAACAAATAAATGAGTTGAATAAAAATTTTCCAAAAAAAAAAAAAAAAGAGGAGAAAATGCTTATCTAGAAAAACTCTTCAGGAAATGCTGAGAAAGAAGTTTAAATTTGTTACTAATTTTGTCCTCTGTAAAGCAAGGCCTAATGATGGTTCCAGAAAAACAACAGCAATAAAAAACAGCAGCTCTTTGGGGTCCTAGTAGATGCTGTCATAAGTGGAGTGACAGGAACAGAAGAGATAGTCCAGCAGGGAGGGTGCATGCCTTACATGCAGCTGACCTGGGTTCGATCCCTGGCATCCTATATAGTCCTTCGAGCCTGCCAGGAGTAATTCCTCAGTGCAGAGCCAAGAGAAACACCTGAGCATCACTGGGTGTTGCCCCAAAATGAAAACAAGAAACAAGAGTAGAGGGAAAGTACAGCGATAGCAGCCATGACTTTGCAGCTACTTGGAGGCAGAACTGCAGAATGAATGATGGGGCCTCATGATGAGCATTTGTGAAACCTGACAGCTCAAACCTCAAACTCTTTACTACAGGTGCCAGAGACAGTACGTGGGTAAGGTGCTTGCCTTGCACATGGTTGGTTCTTGTTTAATTCATGGCACCATATATGGTTCTCCAGAAAACACAGGGGTGACCTGAGAACAGAGTCAAGAATAAGCCCTGAGGGGCCAGAGTGACAGGACAGCGGGCAGGGCGTTTGCTCCCTGGCATCTCTTCTGTCCCCTGAGCACCACCCGGAGTAATTCCTGAGTGTGGAGTCAGGAGTAACCCCTGAGCATAACTGGGTATGGCCCAAAACAAACAAACAAAAAAGAATAAGCCCCGAGCACCTCTGTACATGGCACCAAACTGCCTGCTCCCCACTCCAGCATAACACAGTTTCTACGACAGTCTTTGCAGAAGATGAACAGCTATGAATCCACCAAAATGATCCCACAAATAACTTGTGTGTGGTGTCAGAGATCAACCTAGGCACTCCAACATATGAAGCACATGCTCTACTACCCTGATATTCCTGGCTCAAAATATTTTTTGGGGGAGGGAGCCCCCCTACACCTAGTGGTACTTAGGGTTTTACTCCTGGCTCTGCATACTCAGGGATCACTCCTGTGGACTCAGAGGGACCACAAGGTGCCAAGAATCAAACCCAGGTCAGCCACATCCGATCAAGTGACTGTACTATCTTAGTTCAATTTTTTATTTTTTTTTGCATTTTAGATCACACCCGGTGATGCTTAGGAGTTAGTCCTGGCTCTGCACTCAATAATGCCCTCCTTGCTGTACTATCGCTCCCGCCCCTTGGTTCAATTTTTAAAATGTAAATAGACAGGGACCGGAGCTATAATACAGCAGGTAAGGCGATTTTCCTGTATGCGCTGACTGGGTTTGATCCCTGCCCCCTGTATAGTTCCCCAAAACTACCTGGAGTGATCCCTGAGCACCACTGGGTGTGGCCCCCAAACCAACTTGATAAAATATAAATAAGTATAAATATAAACTGAGCAGCAGTTGATCACAGTCACATTCCAGCAGCCGAACCTGTGCCCGGGGCGGGTGAGAAAGAGGTGCCCATGCTCTCCGCAGTGGTCTGATCCTGGGCCAGTCAGAAGTACTGAGAGGAATCAGACTGGTGCTTTGTGCACGATGACCCTTAAATATAAGCAACTATTTCATCTGGTGCTCAACTGAAGAAGGGAAAATGGCCTGTTCAATTGAGACTCTGGCTTTCTCTGTTGTGCTGGGTTTTTGGTTTTGGGGCCACACCCAGTGATGTCAGGGGCTACTCCTGGCTCTGCACTCAGGAATCACTCCAGAAGGTACTCGGAGATCCAACCTGGGTTGGCTGCTTGCAAGGCGCATCCTACCCGCTGTACTACTGCTCCAGTCCCTGTTGGGCTGTTCTTTGGGGGACATGCCTGGCAGTGTTGGGGGTGGGGGAGGGTCACTTCTGGCAGTGCTCAGAGGACCACGCTGTGCTGAGGATCAAAGTGAGCCTCCTGCATGCAAAATATGTGCTCCAGCCCACTGAGCTGTCTCTTTGGCCCTCACAGCTTTTTATGCCTTAGATGCCAAGACCACACAGTGCTGCTGAATCAGGAATCTTTTTGAGTATTTCAGAAAGAAAACCCTTGGTTTGAGAAGTTAGGAGAGAGAACGTGTCACTGGAGGATGTACTACCTCTGTCGGCATTAGAAGAAAATGGCTTCGGATTTTACCTTCTGTGGTGTGTAATAGTCCTCTTCTGAATCCAAACCCAGTCGTCCTGAGACACACAGAAGAAAGAGGTTAGTAAAATGAGGGTCTCTGTCCCAGTGACAGTCCTGAGACGGTCCTTACTGGAGGGCACTTCTAAAGTGGAGACTGTATGGTGTGTTCAGATGCACACAAGTCTGCAGCCTCAGAATAAGCGGAAAGACAAGGTCACACCTACCATATTCCCCACAGCCCCAAGAATAGACTTCTTTGTTTCGCGTCAGAACCACCACGTGATTATCCCCACAGGAGACCTGCTCCACTGGATTATTCAGGAAGAAGTTCAACTGCATGGGTTCTAGTACTTCAGGGCCAGCAACCTTGTCCACCCCCATGCAGCCGTAATAATCAGATCCGAAGGCATAGATCTGACCTTCATCTGCAAAAGGAAGGGAAAGATCCATGAAAGGAACAAAGTACTCTGTACAATCAGAAGGTTGGTGGGGTTGGAATCAGGTCGGTCTAAGCCAATCACATTGATCACATTTACTGATTAGAGAAAGACAAAGGCCAGACTCTCCCCATCCGGAGTTGGGCCTATTTAGAGGTCAAATGTACAATTCTCAGCTTTACAAAACTAGGAGCATTACATCATGTTAAAAGGAACATTTGGCTTGCTCTTCAATCCAGTCTTCTCCTTTGATGTAAATCTCACTTGTTTGTCTCTGCTTCCTGCCCGGGCTCTCTCTTGAACACATTTTTCTTTCCCTCACATCTTTCTAAATAAAGGTAAAGGTAAAGGCCCTCCCGTTGATCGTCGATTTGCTCGAGCGGGCCCAGTAACGTCTCCGTTGGAGACTTTGTTGTTACTGTGTCTGGCATATCGAATACTCTCGGTAGCTTGCCGGGCTAAATTTTAATAAAAATTATCCAGCTTCACTTTTTCACTCACCCTCCCCCACAACATTCTTTTCTCTTCTGAGGCAAAGATGACAGGCTGGGACTCACCTGCTCCAGGCCAGGCATTTCCCTGAGCACTGGTGGATCTAGTGGGTCAAGCAGAGAGGTGGAAGCACTCTTTTCTCGGGTCTACCTCCCTTGCTCCCCAATTCACCTGGCCACCAGCAACATAAGCATCTGTCCTGGCAATTGCTAGCCTGTCCTCACTGTTTAACCTGTGCTAACACGGACTGCCCCTGGGGTCCAGGATGCGCCAGCTTAGAGAGCAGGCCCATAGCTGGATGTCCAGCACAGGGCTGAGACAGACAGACAGACAGCGAGGATCCTTACGCCTTCCCTGGGTTTTCACTATGTGCACAGCATCAGACACCTGCTTCCCTCTGAGTTCTTAACCACACAAGGAAACAAAATGCCTAGCAGGGCAGAGCTGTCCTACTCTCTTTAAGGCCCAATAATCATAGCAGAATTACACAGAATTCAAACCTCCCCTGAGCCTTTCCCAGTTTTCCTCCTGGGCCCATTTCTGTTCCCAGTGGCCTCAGGCTTGATCCCTCTCATTATAAAAAAAAAAAAAGAAAAAAAAAAGGAAAGGGTTTAAAATTTTACTGGGGTCATCTTTATTTTACAGAGAACAGAGAATAAGAAAAGTACCAAGAAATCTAAGAGCAGTGAGACCAACAAAACTAAATTTTAGCTATTTTTGTTTGTTTTTGGGCCACATCCAGTGGTGCACAGGGCCGGCTTACTCCTGGCTCCACACAGGGGTATCACTCCTGGTGGTGCTCAGGGGACCATAGTGGGTGCCAAGGATCAAATCCAGGTTAGCTGTGTGCAAGGCAAGCACCTTACTCGCTGTACTATTGTTCCAGACTTACATTTAGCTCTTGATTCCCAACTTAGTGTTATACATCACCAACCCTCATTCTGGCAGTTGATTGCGCCCTGCAACATACTTCTCCTTAGAGGACCACTTTCCCCGTCACCCAGCTATACTGTCCTTTCTTATTTAATGCTATAAGAAATGGGGTATCTTGTTATGTTTTATTGGCGGTAAAATCCCAACTAAACATGTCCACACTAAGTGCAGTGCCCCACACTGAATGTATGCAGATGCTCTCTGGGGATGACTTACCGGTTACACAGACAGTGAAATCGTCACCACATGACACTTGACGGATAGCTTTGCCTTGCAACTTTTCCACATGCTTCGGTTGTCTGTAAGAGGCCTTGTCTCCATGGCCCAGCTGACCATGAAGTTTGGTACCCCCCTGCATGTTCTGTGGAATAAAAAAGTCTTGTGAAGTTTTGACTTTTCATACATATGTAATTTCTTGCCCCGACCCTCCTTCCCCCCGGGAGGTGCTCCTGCACAGTATTCTGGGGGCTCAGGGGCCAGACCTGGCAATTCTCAGCTAACTGGGCCAAAGAATTGGAATGCAAGGATCCAAGGATGTGGTGCAGGCCCGTGGTACGAGGAACCACCTTTGAGCTATCGTCTGGGGCCCAAAAGATACTATTTTAAGAACTATTCAGACTGATACCCATCAGGTATACAGGTCCAGTTTGGTCTTTCTCTTTCAAGTATAAAATAAAGTATATATTTAATTTTGAGTAACGGTGAAAATAAGTCTATAGTCTAACTTTTCTACTTCAGGATTAAACTCTTCCCACTTAATCCTTTTAACACAGAAATTGTACATGACCCAGGATATATAGTAAGTTAAACACTTATAGATAAATTTATTTTGGTTTCTGGGCCACACCAGCTCAGGGCTGATTCCTGGCTCTGCACTCAGCAAATAATTCCTGGTGGGACTTAGGAGACCATATGGGTACTGGGGATCAAACCTGGGCCAGCTAAGACAAGTGCTCTATCTGCTACAATCTCTCTCCACCCCTAAAGCAAATTTTTTTTTTTTGCAATCCCCACATTAAGTTGTGCAACCCCATGGGTTGTGATCCACAGTTTAAGAAGCTACATTCTACAGCAGTATAGCTGCTGAAAATAATTACTAGGCATTTCATAAATTTTGGTTGGTTTCCCTGAAATATGCAATTTATAAAAAATCTAGTTACGGTAAAGATGCTGCTATACTGAGACTGACTCCTAAGTGACGTTCTAGTAGTCATAAGGCAGTAAGTAAACATAATCAATGACTGAACTGAAAATTCTCAAGTACATGTTTGCTTAAATACCCTATTAAAGCAATGGGGGGTGGGGGGAGAGGGAGGAAGGGTTCCTGGGGTCATTCCTGGTGATACTCCATCAGTGGTATTCAGGGGCTATGAGGGCAGCCCTGGCAGACCTGAGGGGCCATGCAGTGCTGAGCATAGACCTGAGGATCCTATACATACTACTCATGCATTCTACCATGTGTGTGATTTCTGCAGCCACTTCATTTTGAAAGAATTAATCCTTCCTCCTCTTTTTTTTCTGGAAGTTGCCCAGGGACTAGTTCTTTAAGGGCTTTAGGGAGTAAGTCAACACGCCAGCAGTGGCCAAACCACTTTTTCCATTGATTATGTTTACTTACTAATAGTTACTTATTAATAGTTCAAAACTCTGCCACACACTGGGGATGGGATGAAGGCCGTCTTCACAGAGCAGGTGTCTGAAAATGTGAGACCAATGAGCGCCCTTGGGAAGGGAAGAGTGATTCCCAAACTTACTTGGCCTATGATCACCTTTTCAGGAACAAAGTATTCTCAACCCACCCCCACCTCCAGAATTACTTTATGTGAACAAAGAGAAAGACGCAGCCCTTCTTGCTTGTACTGCACTTCTGGTCTGTTCCAGTGACCTTTGGAAACACTGGCTGAAGATAAGATTGTTCAGAAAAGCAGTCTGAAGAGAACTAACTGAGAAGACACAGGAGGAAGGAGAGAAAAGAATCTCATGGCAGCAGAGGGAAGACAATTTCAGGACAGAAGGTGTGGCCGAAAACTGCAAGTGCTTCTGGGAGGTCAAACAAGGAAAAAAGCATCTGTTTCACCGCCACAATTAAGAGGTCATTTTGTCAAGAGTAGTTTCAAGTGAGTGGAAGGGAGCGAGATAGTAGTGGGTTGACCTGGGTTCAATCTCTGGCACATTATGGTCAACAAGCCCCACCAGGAATGACTCCTGGGTGCAGAGCCAGGAGTAAGCCCTGAGCACCACTGGTGTAGCCCCCAAACAAAACAGAAAACAAGTTAGTGGCAGGGACAGACACTGCACTGAAGGAAAAATGAAAAGCAAATGGGAGTTCAGGAAATAGCAAAAGCAGGCAGTTCTGTCCAAGAAAGTGAAAGGGTGGAGCCTAAAGGGAACAGAAAAAAATCTGATTCAAGATATACCTAGACAGCTTCGACACTGGTAGAGTGTAAAATCTTACCACGCAGAAGGTTGTGTGTTCACAGGCTCACTGGATGGCTCTTTCTCACTGCCTGCGTTCGGTACTCTTGAGCCCTGTGTGTGCCTGGATCAGGATGGCTGTTCTTTCTCTCAAGCTTGGGCCCCTCTTGCTCTGACCCTGGATCTCTGGAGCCTGAGCTCTCTCATTTCTGACTCTCTCCTCCCCGAGCTTATAGTCTTAGTTTATATAGCATCACATAAGGTGGTGACATAAAGGTGGGTTGAATATTGACAAATCAACAAAGAGAGGTAAAACGACTCCTCCAGGAGATTAAGGATAAAATCTCATCTAAAGAGATTACTCCAGATTACTAGGAAATCCGCTCAACGGTGGGATTCCAACAAGGGTGTGTTCTTCCCTCAGTTAGTAATCTACTTAAATATTTGTAATAAATCTACTTCTAATATTTCTAGCAATGTCATTCTGTACGAGCACAGTAAGAGATATAAACTTAGTTTGGTTCTTCCTGAGAACATCTCACTATACATTCCGTAGTCCTCAGGCCAGGTTAATCTTCCTAGCTCCAGCAGGGTCCTAGTCTCGTTGTTACTTACTTTTGGATCATGACAGCATTTGTCCATGATCATGCCCTCAACTTATAGTTGACTATCGTGGCGCTTTGGCCTGGCCCATTTTGATGCCAGGGTAGCTCACAGCTTGCCCTGGGTCCATTCAGTCCCTTGTCGGGACCCTGCTTTTGGGGTGCTAGGAACTAAGGGCAACTGAGTCAGGAAATCAGATGCCTAGGAGTAAATATTATTCGGAGTCAATCAACTCCCAAGTTACAAAGCAAAATATTAACTGTCTTCCTGTGTCCACACAGAAAGGACATTGCTGACAATACAAGTTCAGTGTCCTTAGATGGATGTGACCCGATAAACCTAAGCTACCTGAGGAAGGACAAAAGAGTGTTATCCTACAATAGAGGTCTTGGAATTTGGCTTGTCTGACACAGTACTTCATTTGCTTCCAACAATAGTTCATAGATAGAAACAGGCTACTCTGAATTTCGTGCTAATAACAAAATAAACCAAGTGACTTTCTGAAATCACCTATGTACACTGGGAGAGTCAAATCTCCTGAATTTGGACCTACGGCTCTTTTCATTCTTCCTCTCTTCTCATTTATTTAAAAAAAAAAAAAACAGTTCAAGGGGATGCAGAGATAGTACTGCAGGTAGGGTGCTTGTCTTACATGCAGCTGATCCAGGTTTGATTCCTGGCATCCCATATGGTTCCCAAGCACTGCCAGGAGTAACATCTGAGCATCACTGGGTGTGGCCCCCCAAAATAAAATATAAACATTTCTAGGCAACCAAGCATTGAGAATACATCAGAGGAAGTAAGCAACAAAATCCTACTCTCTAAAGGGATTATACTCTTATTATTCCATCTCTCTGCTTCTGTGGCACATGATTAATCACAAAATACTGGTGTTCTGGGCCCAGTCAACAATGACGAGGCTAACAGCAAGGACCTAAAGCACTTCATTTCCACTTACCACCCAGGTGTAGAGTTCTTTTTCTACTGTGACCACAGCAAAGTGAGTGTTCCCTGCGCACACCTGACGGGCACTGCAGCCACTCTTGATGACGTCCAGTTTCTGGGGAGTGGATTTTCCACCACCCCAAACGTAGACTTCACTGGTCCGTGATGTGACCACAGCAATGGGTGCTTCAGTCACAGTGCTTGACCTGCCAACAACCCCCAGAACAAAGGCACATTTAACATGAAAACTGTAGCAAAGAAAAAGGCTCCCTCTCTTTCCCGAGAAGAACTGCCAATTATGGTATGAGAAAATATGCTCTTAGTCGACAACTTATTTCAACCCTCTATCATGGCAGACTCCAATTCCTTTCTCGGGGCTGCATGAGTTCAGTCAGATCAGATTCCGGTCCGATCCGTAACACCTACCCTTTCCAATGTTCATCATGGTAATGATGTCCACTTTCACATGAGAGTGAAATTACAGCTTTCTTCTTCTCAGAAATAACTATCTGTCATTTAAATAGATGTTGGCTTCTGAACGGAAGCCAGAGACGATTACTGGGATCAAACAATACATAAGCCCAAGGAAGGAAGACCCCTGGTGGTAATTCCAGATCTAGTCATTTCAAGGGTCTCTGGAGCTTTACCTTGGTCTCTTGGTCGGTGCATTAAGTAGCGTGACTTTTTCCTCCATCTCTCTACCAAAAGAAAAGACACACAAGTGAAATGTTATATTCCTGCACTGCAGCGTCCCTTGCATACAAGTCACAGATTTTATCCTCCATAAAATCCTCTATGGCTACTACAGTGTTAAAATGCTTTTAGGAAAAGATCTTAATACAACCCAAGCAGTTAAACAGAAAGGAATCCAACAACTCGCTAACTATAAGGGGACAACGGTTTGGGGGACACTTTTTTTAACCTCTAAGAAAGATTTTAGGGTGGAACAGAGAGCCTCAATGACCTCTTTTCTTTTGTGAAACAGGTGCCAAATGCGGGGGGGTGGGAGCGGAGGATGGGGAAGTGTAGAAGGGGGGTGGGGGAACACAATGATCACTTCCAGCAATGCTTAGAAAACCATGAAGTACGATCGATCAAACCTGGGCTCCACATGCAAACATGCCCTCCAGGAGCATTGAAGAACATTTTAAAGTACCTGCTGGATGTCTACCTGTTTCATCTGCCCCCTGGCACCCAACGCCAACACCTTTCTATTTGCATGGAGCCCTGCACATGTAATGCACACCTATTTCTCAACATCTTTACCTTAAAATCTCAGCTCATTATCTTTTTTATGTTTACTTTGTTTTAAAGATATTTGAAAGACAACTTTATTTTGATTCTAAATGAAAAAAAGGAATGGGAATGGCAGTAACAAACACCATTTCACTACTAAATACTGTGATGTAACTGCAGCAGTCTTAGATCTCAAACTCAAAGGAGACAAGTGCAATTCCAAAAGAGCTAGATATGCGGTCCAAACAAAAGTTGTTTAAAATAAAAAATAATTAAAAAAAAAAAAACCTGCCACATTTACTAGTGGGGTGTGTGTGATGTAGGGATCCTGAGAGCCTCTCATGTATCTCTATCACTGTACTCCGTCTCTGGCACCCCTTACCTACTTTCATTTTTTTTTAGGGCGGGGGGAGAAGTGGGAGAGGTAGCACCTCACTAACCTGGTGGTTCAGAGGGAGGGTCACTCCTACCAGTGCTTGGGGAATCATGTGGCACTGGATATAAAACCTGGGGCTCTGACATACAAAGTGTTCCAAACCTTTGAGCCACCTCTGACTTGAGTCCCCTCCTTTGTGATGGACACTGATGCCCAATAGTGCCTCCTGAGGCACATCACACCACCTGCCTTATCACAGATTCCAGTTCTTCCCTTTTCTCTTGAACACGGCACCCACTCCTTCATCTGGCAGCCAAGGTGCCCTGCTGCTTTTGGTTCTTTTCCTTCCCTCAGCCCACTCCCATGGCTTGCCCTTGAGCTTGCAATCTACCACATCAAATATGGTCGCACTTCTGGGCTGATACTTAGGCACTGATCAGTTTGAACACGCCTAAAATGTTGCAACTGAAAATTCAAGTCGACTCATATGGGACTCAGCATCCTTGTATCTAGAGCTCTGTCATGTTTTCATCCATGCACAAGATTCTAACAGAATGATACACCATCTGTAAAGGCTGTAATAAAAACTGCAACTAAAATTAAGATAGAAATATTTATGTTGGCCCTAGTTTGATTCCTGGCATTGCATACAGACCCTTGAGCAACAACAGGTGTGAACACCCACCAAAGTATAATAGGATGAAGCCAACTATAATACAGACAATAGCTCTTCCTTTGGTAGGGCTGGAAGTGGGGAATACATGACCTTCTTTCTACCTCTAACAGACTAAATCTCAGCAAAGAGCTCGGCATAGAAAATAAACTGTGTTGGAAGCTGAAGCAATGGTCCCGGCGTCCCATATGGCATCCCATATGTTCCCCAAGCACCCCATGAGTGATCCCTGAGTGCAGTGCCAGGAGTAATGCCTGAACATAACTGGGTATGGCCCCCAAACAAACAAATAAAAGAGAAAGAAAAGAAACTAAATTGTCAGTCTCAATCCAGGGCCTAAGGGTGTCTGAGCCCAGAAGCCCACTCTCTAAATTAGCACATGTTAATGCTTCAATTCCAGATTAAAACGCACAGATGGGAGTAAACAGGGAGCACAAGAGCACACATTTAGAACAAAGACTCCCAAACTTCTTTGGTCTATACCCCCTTTTCAGATGGGCACTCCTACGGAAACAAAAAGCACCCACAATTGCATCTGAGACTTTACCCCCAGGATTGTTCCAACACTCCCTAGGGGGCCTTTTCTTCCACACTGAGAAGCAGTGGTTTGAGGCAAAGGTCAGGCGCCACCCTCAAGTAATGAAAGGAAAGCGTGGATAAGGAAGCAGTGCTCGACAGCCACGTCAGGAAACACCACCCTCTCTTGCAGGGCACTGATTAGGTGCCAAGAGCCAGTCATCTATGAAAGGACAATGGAACACCCTCTCTGGACTTTACCTCCTGCGCTTCCTGAGAAGGGGGCAATCCAGAAGTTCATCCGCAGTGGGTCTCTGTTCAGGATCCTAAAAAAGTACAAACGGAGTCAGTTTTCATATAAAGGGAACAAGCAAAAGTTGATCTAAAGAGGCATTTAACTTTTTCGAAAAGGTTATAGGTTTCAGGGTTAGAGATAGTCTAGTGGGGAGGATGTTTTGCCTTGTACATGGCTGATCCAGGTTTGACCCCCAAGTGCAGAGCCAGGAGTAAGGCCTGAGCACCACCAAGTGTGTCTCCCATTTCCCCACGAAATGGGTTACAGGTTAATTAGTCAAAGACCACCCTAAAGTAAGGTCCTTGCCATCCAATGACCCTGTTTCAATCCCCATTACCACACAGGGTCAGGAGTAAGCCCTGAGCACTGCTGGGTGTGGCCCCCAAAACAGAAAAGGCCATCACAGGGGCTGGAGAGATAGTAAAGTGGGCAAAGCACTTGTCTTGCACAAAGCCAACCCATATGGTCCCCTGAGCACCACCAGGAGGAATCCTAGAGCAGAGAGTCAGGAGCAAGCTCTTAGCAGAGTTGGTGTGGCCTCAAAACACATAAAAAAGAAAAATCACCAAAAATTAATTATCCTTTTTTTTTTTAAAAAAATACCACTTGGGAGAGAAGAAAGGCCACTGGGAGGCTCCACAGCTCCCGGAGAATGCTCCAGGTCCCAAAGAGAGCCGCCCAAAGAGAGCTGAGATCACCGGGAAGTCCCAGATGGGGTAGCTGCCGCATCCCACCTCCTCCAGATGGAACCCCGGTGACCATGAGCCTCTACAAGCACAGCTGGAGCATGCGGGAACAGGACTTTCACTCCAAACTGCCGGGACTGCCCTGGCTCCCAGGTAACCTCTGATTCCGGAAGTCACGCCCACAGCCCGCCCCCCAGCACCATCTTTACAGCACACAGCCACAGAGAAGAAAGGCCGCTGGGAGGCTCCACAGCTCCCGGAGAATGCTCCAGGTCCCAAAGAGAGCCGAGATCACCAGGAAGTCCCAGATGGGGTAGTTCCCAGATGGGGTAGGTGCCGCATCCCGCCTCCTCCAGATGGAACCCCGGTGACCATGAGCCTCTACAAGCATAGCTCGGTTATGCAGGAACCAGGACTTTTACTCCAAATATATGAAGTGATCAATGGAAAGTAAATCATCCAACATTTCTCCCTGAAAATCAGGCTTAACTCTTTTACAAACCACAACACCCAATAGGAAAGAGAGAACAAAAGGGAATGCCCTGCCACAGAGGCAGGGGGGATGGGGGGCTGGGGGGTGGGAGGGATACTGGGATCCGTGGTGGTGGGAAATGGGCACTGGTGGAGGGATGGGTATTCAAAATAAATAAATTAATTAAAAAAAAATCTCAGGGCTGGGACGAATGGAAACATTGCTCGCACCTCCTCAAGCAAATCAATGAACAAACAGATGACAATGATATAGTGATAGAGTGATACACATTTAGCTAAGCTCTTAGAGTATCATATGACTTATCACCTCAAGTTAGAGATCCAAGTGCCCAAGTGAATGCTCATTCTGTTCATAAGACACTTTCAAATAAGGCACTATTCTGTTTCTTTTTCTCCTATGTTTTGATTTTGGGTTTTTGTCGTTGTTTTCGCTTTGGTTTTGGGGCCACACCCCGTGTCACTCAGGTCTTACTTAAGGATCACACATGGTGGACTCAGGAACCATGTGGGGTTCTGGGATCAAATCCAGGTTGGTTAGGTGTAAGGCAAATACTCTACTCTCTGTACTGTCTCTCCAAGTCTCCCCTGTATTTTGAAAAGTGTGTTATTCATGGTTCAAAACACCACTGGTAATATTCCCAGTGTACAATAGTTACAGCATCTCTAGAATTAAACATGGATTATTTTTTTCATGTGCGACACAAATATCTCTGATCACAGTGCCTTAGAAAGGGGTGTTCATCAGTTTTTCCTGCCCTGTCAACATAAGTCTGCTTGGAATGTGGCATGAGGCATGTATTTCAGAATTTGGCTTTTTGTGTGACTTCTGCAAACTGACCACCATTGCTTTACGCTAAGACTCTGTCTGCTCTACTCCTCAGAAAATTCCCTTAGCATTGTGATTGAAAAATTAATAAAGGAATAAATTCCTTGTTCATATTTCTGAAGTTGAATACATATCATGGAATATACATGTCATATACATGCATATTTATTTTTATGCATTTAAACAATTTGTTAATGGTTCAATGATTCATTTTAGGATTCTCTTGATTAAATAAATCAGAAGACAGAAAAAAAAAATACCATTTTTGGGTGAAGGATGGGCGCTCCCAAGCAGTGCTCAGGGGGTTCAGTAGCAACTCCCCTTCATTCTTGGTCACAGGACAGTGACTCAGTGCCAGGGTGTGAGGATGTGGGGCTAGCTGGGCCTTGGGGTGACAGCATGGTGCTTGGGGCCTCCAGGACTCTACCTGGAGATGGTGCACGCAGACACCATGTGGTACCAGGATTTGAACTTGGGTCTTTGCATATGCAAAGCACCTTTCCTTAACTGGTAAGTTACTTCTCCAGCCCAGGGACTATTTTCTTTTAACTTTTGGTTTGAACCACAACTGGCAGTTGCTTAGGGGCCATCCCAGCCCTATATTATAGTGTCACTTGCTGGCAGTGCTGGGGAACCAAGGGATGTGCTCCTACCTATTGAGCAACCTCTTTGAACTCCCAAATAGTAATTTTTTAATTACTTTTTTAAAAATTAAAATTTTTTCATTTACTTTTTGGTTTTGTTTTGGGGCCATACTGTGTCACTCTCAGGGGTTACTCCTAGTTCTGCATTCAGGAGTTACTCCTCATGGTGCTCAGGGACCATATGTGATGCCTGGGATCAAGCCCCTGACAAGTGCAAGGCAAATGCCCTACCTGTTGTGCTATTGCTCCAGTCCCTAATTTGTTCTTAAGGCATCATGATTTAAGAGTCACTGAGTTTCAGGCATACAACGTTGCAACATCAATCCCATCACCAGTGTCCACTTCCTTCCACCTCAGCCCCACCCCACCTGTCTCTATGACAGGCACTTAAATATTCAATTTTAGGCACTGTCACTGATAGGGTTTCATACCTAACACACTTCAGCTCAACACCCCCCAGGGTGACCTCTTCCTCTATCGCTTTCTCAGTGTCCCTCCTCCCCATCCATCCTGTCTTACGGATGGCTAGTTCTCAGTTTCTGTTGCCTTTGGACAACTGTCATTCCCTTACTATGTCTCTTTACATGTGAGAGACATAGGAGAGATCGTTCTGTCCCTTTCCTTATGACTAGCATCACTCTGCATGACACTCTCCAGCTCCATCCATGTGCTCCAAATGGCACGATTTCATCTTTCCTTATAACCGAGTAGTATTCCATTGTGTACGTATGCCATAGTTTCTTTATTCACTCATCTGTTCTTGAGCACTTGGGTTGTTTCCAGACTCCTAATTTCTTATGTCAGATTCCATGTTCTGTGTTTATAATCTCATTTACATTTATACTGAGAAAAATGGAGCTTCCTCTGGTCGAAAGAGCTCAAAGGCTAAGAGCATGTTTTGCATGTATGGGGCCTAAATTTGATCCCCAGAGCCATTTGGTCCCCCAAACACTGTTGGTAGTAGTTGGTAGTGACTCCTTAGCACTGAGCCAGGAGTAGCCCTCAGCACCCGGTATCTGACCCTCCCCCCAACACCCTCCAAAAGAAAACTAATAGAAAAAAAGAGAATGCTGCACCTTCTCCATGTGTTCAGTTAGGGTACTGTCAAATTTCTACATATAGCACGTAAGAAATGGGGCCAGAGAGACAGTACAGCAAATAAGGTACCTCCCTTATGTGTTACTGACCTGGATCTAATCTCCCTGGCATCACATATGGTCCCCTGAGCACTGTCAGGAGTAAGCCTTGAGCACCACAGGTGCAGGCCCACAAAAACAAACATACCCCACCCCGCCCTCACCCCAAAACAAACCAAAACCTTGCTCTCAAATATAAGCTAAATTAAAAAGTGTGTGTGTGTGTGTGTGTGTGTGTGTGTGTGTGTGTGTGTGCGCGTGGAGGGTGGATAGTTTGGGCTATGCCTGGGGTTGCTGAGGGCTTACTCCTGGCTCTGAGCTCAGGGATCACTCCTGGCAGGGCATGAGGCAAAGGGGGCGGATATGTGTAAGGTGAGTGCCTTACTCGCCATACTATAGCTCTGATACCAAGAATCACCATTGTTACACCACATTTCTGGACTTTATCCAAAGATCTGCTTTTGATCCAACTCAGCTGATCTGTGATGAAGCCCAGGAATCCTCATTTCTAGTGAAATGCTCTGACCCTCTGGCGATTGTAATGCCTATGACTCATGGACTATGCTCTGAATAATATTAATCTAGAGCTGTACTGCAGGACAACTTATATTTTAGGGCTATCTACTTTGCACATTAGGAACTCTAAATTACCTTTGGTTATAATTTTATACAAGCATTTGACAGAGATTATCATAAAACTACAATCAGATAGCAATATACTCTTATAAATTAATAAAGTGAAAATAGAGCAGAATAAATCATTTGGTTTTTTTTGTTTGGGGGACATACCCAGCAGTGTTCAAGGGTTGTTATTCCCGACTCTGCACTCAGGAAATTACTCCCGGCAAGGCTCAGGGTACCAAACGGATTGCCAGGGACCTAATCTTAGGTCGGCTACGTGTAAGGCAGCACCTCACCCACTGTACTATCTCCTCTGGCCCCCAGAATAAATCACTTGTTGACGGAATTTCTAGTATTTCCATGAATATCTAGTAACCATTCTTCTGAGTACAACCTCAAATATATCCTACCAGAAGAAAGTGAAGGTGGGTTTGTGCAAGCTGATCCTTGCCATGCCCTAAACACTAGAGCTAGAAGGGAAAACATTAAACTAACATCTATATATAAGCCACACTTACCTGGTCGAGGCACACATGAACCATTTGGATCAGTTCCAAAGAATACTGGCTAGAATCAACTTCCATGGCCCGAATTCCTTGTACAATCTTCACACACAGATTAAGTGGATTCTATGAGAAAACGGCAATTGCATGGTTCTTGGTTACATTGAGATGGTATTATAGTCTGCTGACAGGAGCTCTGAGTGGTCTGCGACTAACTTAAAGACATGATGACTCCTCTGCTGCATTAGATATGACTTAGTTTTATAACTACTATTATGCAGCAACAAGAAACAGTTTAAGGGGGCTGGGGATGTCGCTCAGTGGTAAAGTGCCTGCCTTGCATGTATAAAGTCCAGGGAGGAATGGAGGGAGGGAAGTCAAAAAGGGAGGACAGAAGGGAAGAGAAAGAAAGGAAGGGAGGGACAGGGTAGTACTGCTGCTAACAGAATGGAGCCAACATGGAAATAAAGCCAATAGCATGACAGTCAAAGTGTATGCTAATAGAACGGAATCTCAAGGGGGAAAAAAGCAAGGTTAACCATGTTACTTGGCTTTAAGTATCTCCATCATCAACAATTTGTCTCCTAATTTATATATCCTAATAATGGTCAGGTAAGATAAAATCTGCTGCAACAAACAAGGAAAAATAAAACAATGATGGCAATGACCATCTTTAACCAACTTTATCGAGAGCCCCATGTACTAGAAACATATACACATAGGATCTTTTTTAATCCTTATAAACAGGATATAAGGAAGATCAATTAAATTCGAAGAGATAAAGGTTTGTTGCCCAAGATTACAATGTCAAAACTCATTTTGATTTCAAAATTAGTCTAATTCCAAAATTTATTTTCCTTCCACTATACTTACGAGAATTAGATTATACTAGGTTACGTTTTAGGATTGGGGAGGGGCGGGGGAGAAGAAAGAGAGAAGTGACATGAAAGGCCAAGGAATGTGTATTATTTTACATTTGCTTGTTTCATATAAATTATCTCTGAAGTAGGTATTGGAGGTGTACTGGCCAAAAAAAAAAAAAAAGAAAGAAAAAAGAAAAAAATTATGTTTAAAGCAGGCTGAAAAGATAAAGATTAAGGTACTTACTATGCACACAGTTGATCCTGGTTTAATCATACCAAACTGTGTATGGTTTCCTGTGTATGGTCCCTACAGCCAGGAGTAAGCCCCGAGCACTGTCATATATGGCTCTTCAAAATAAACTAACAAAAAAATCCCTAACACATCTCAATGAGAGGGACACATATTTTTTCTGTTATAATGAAATACAAGACCAAAGTGATGAAGTGATTTGCTTAAATTCTCATGCTGGTTTATGAGCACACTAGAAGCACTCTTGGAAATCAATCTGTGGTCAGAGGCTGGCAACATCAGCATCATCTGAGAGTTAATTAGAAATACGGAATATCAGGTCTCATTCCAGATCTACTAAAACAGAATCCATGTTTGTTTTTTCAAATTTTGGAACCACACTTGGCAATGCTCAGGGCTTATTCCTGGCTCTGCACTCAGGACTCACTCCTAGCAGGCTCAGGAGACCACATGGGATGACGGGGATGAAACCCAAGTTGGCCACATGCAAGACAAATAAATGCCTTACCTTCTGTATCATCGCTCTGGCCCCAACAATCTACATGTTAACAGATACCCAAGTGATTTTATTTACGCATATAAAAATTTGAGAAGCACTGCCTTAGACTTGGTGTTACATAAGAACAGGGGGAGGGAAAAGGACTTAAAGGAATGTGAGCCATAAAACAGTAGTAAGTAGGCTGGAGAGATAGGACAGGATAGAAGTTAAGTGTACATCCTAGGTTTGATCCCTGGCACTGAGCACTGCCAGGAGTGGTCCCTGAGCAGAGTCACGAATGAGCCCTAAGCACCACTGGGTGTGGCCCCCAAAACCAAAATAATAATAATAAAATTTTTTAAAAAGTGACACTAAGACTGAGAGCGTAGGGTTCTTGAACATAGTTAATGTGTTTAAGCAGTTCTGCATGCTTGAGTCCTAGATGTGATCCCTGAACACAACTAGGAGTAGGAGCGACCTGTGAACAGAATCAAAAATAGGCCCAGGTTCTGCCAGTTGTGAGTGGCCCAACCCCTTATCCCCCATGCCATGCAAGTAATTTTTCAAAAAGAAGATCAAGTCACTTAAACGGGAATTATATGACTTGCCTTAGTATTGAGAAAAGTAACATAGCAGAAGTATAAAATAAAATGGCTTATCCAAACTGGTGGATCAGACAGTCAATTGTAGATTCAGTTTTTCTTTTTTTTTTTTTTGATGACACCCAGTGATGCAGTGATGCTCAGGGGTTACTCCTGGCTCATGCACTCACTCCTGGCAGTGCTGCGGAGACCATATGGGATGCTGGGTATTGAACCCAAGTCAGCCGTGTGCAAGGCAAACACCCTACCTGCCGTACTATTACTCCGGCCCCCTCAGTTTTTAATTATATTGTACTCAAGCAAATTCAAGTATAGTACTCAGCTATTTGATTATAATTATTCCAGTGAAGAATTAAAAATGGAGATGTAGGGGGCTGGAGTGATAGCATAGCGGGTAGGGCATTTGCCTTGCACATGGCCAACCTGGGTTCAATTCCCAGCATCCCATACAGTCCCCTGAGCACTGCCAGGAGTAATCCTGAGTGCAGAACCAGGAGTAACCCTTGTGCATTGCTGGGTGTGATCCAAGAAGAAAAAAAAAAAAAAAAAGAAGGAGATGTATCTGGTCTCTGGTCTACAGCATACAATAGTGCTCTACTAAGTGACTAAATCATATTATCTACTATTTGCTGTTTAAGAAATCAGAAATTCAAGGCTAAATGAAGTTGAGTCTCTCAAATAAGCTATAGCATTTTCAAGGACAATATATAATGTATCAACTTACTGTAGCATCAAATGTTCTCTTTAGTGTAAGCAGTTCAAAAATGACGCAGCCCACTGCCCAGATATCAGACTTGAAACTATATTTTACTCCTTGGCAGAGCTCTGGAGACATGTAATATGGAGTTCCTACAAGCTGAACAACAACAACAACAAAAAAGAATAATCTCCATTATGAAACGAAGAATGATTACCATACTAATATTTCAACAACCAAATTAATTTTTTTCAGGAACTAGTTATAACCATCATAAAAATTCACCCGCATTTCCCAAATGATGGGCATCTCCCTGGATGATGCCATTATGAAGAAAGGTGTATTCATATAAAATCTCTTAGGCCAAATCTACAGAACAATCTCCGTGGTAATGAGAGCGTCATAGCACCTCTGGTCAGGTGGGCGTTAGGTGTTCAAGGCCCACTGAAAAGTCCAGAGAAAGAAGGCACTTAGTAAAAGCTAACATACAAATATATAGTACTCCCTTCAACTAACAAAAACAACTGGAGCACAAATGAAAAACCAGAAGGAGATAGTAACTGAATACAGGGTCCAGAATTCTAACTGAAACACATTAGTATATGAAACTTTGTGGGCCTTACTGGGCTGTGCTCAGGGTTTGATCTTGGCTCTGGACTCAGGGATCACTCCTAGTGGGGCTCAGGCAGGTACCAGGAATTGAATACAGGTTGGCTGAGTATAAAGCAAGCACCTTACATGCTGTACTATCTCCCCAGCCCCACTTATAACTTTTTTTTTCCTTTTTGGGTCACACCTGGCGATGCACAGGGGTTACTCCTGGCTTTGCACTCAGGAATTACTTCTGGTGGTGTTCGGCGGGGCCATATGGGATGCTGGGAGTGGAACCCAGGTTGGCTGCGTGCAAGGCAAATGCCCTACCCGCAGTACTATTGCTCCAGCCCCCTCCCTCCACATGTAACTTTAAAAGTAATCAATTTGATATTTGTAATAATAACATGGCTAGTGAATTTGCAAAAGATTTTCTGACCTCAAAAAGGCTTGGAAATATAAATGTTCAGAATGGAAGTTACGCCTCTCTCCAGAAGTTCAAATGATACCAATAGAGTCATCTGGGGCTGGAACAACTATACAGTGGAGAGGGCACTTGCCTTCCATGCAGCTAACTCCAAGTTTGATCCCTGATACTGTATATGATCTTCCAAGCACAGCGAGAAGTGATTTCTGAGTGCAAAGCCAGGAGTAATCCCTGAGCATTGCTGGGTGTGGTCGAAACTGCCCTCAAACCATTAGAATTATCTGGCAAGAGAAAGACAGTTTCAGCTGGCTTACATGTATTGTAAATTTACGGATTTCTATACTGCTTTTACCCTTATCATTTAACATTTTTGTCTTGATTTTAAAAAAATACTTAAAAAGGTTATTCCTAAGAAGGAACATCCATAGAAGGCTGGATGATTTCTTGAGCTCAATTTGGAATCATTATACAAGGTAACTGAGTCAGTCCCTAAAGCAGATCCCAACCCTGGTCATCAGCATACTGAGGTCTCTTAAAGAAGCTTGAGGACATATCTTGGTGTTAGTTTAAAAATTAAAAAAAAAAAAAACCACAGTTATCAATCTGTATTTTCATGCTCTTTTAAGGGATAAACACTGTGAAATGAGAAGAGTAATAACTGGGATGAGAATTCCTAAAGGATGGGGTCAATGTCTTAAAGGAAAAGTGTGCTCTATACACAGTCGCTCGCGTTGAAGGGAGCCAGGAGCTCACACTGTGTACACAGACAGGTCTCTGAGCAACTGTGGTTTTTTTTTTTTTTTGGCTTTTGGGGGTCACACAAAAGCGATGCACAGGGGTTACTCCTGGCTCTGCACCCAGGAATTACTCCTGGGGGTGCACAGGGGACCATATGGGATCTGGGAATCGAACCCAGGTTGGCTGTGTGCAAGGCAAACGCCCTACCTGCTGTGCCAATGCTCCAGCCCCAGTGGCATCCTTTGGAAGAGAGGAGGCCCTGGCCTGGACTCAGGAATATTTTATGAGAAATGCAAAAATGAAAGTCAAACATTCTAAGCTAAACATTAAATCTGATATAGTGAAATCTACTAAAGACTAAAAACAATAAACACAGTAAAACAATATAGTAAAAAGAGGTAACAAAAAAAAAGGCAGTAAAGACTTCATTGCTGTCAGCCAAATTTTTAGTGTTCGAAAGGGCCATGAGGCCAGAGACGTAATGCAGACAATGACTCTTGAAAGAACCCCTGAATATGTCAAGTGCCGGTTAGTGAGGGACAAAAAAAGACACTCCTTTAGAAATATGAAGACCTTACAAGAATATTGAAAAAAAAAATATTGTCTGTAAGATTTAGGGGTTACAGTGATAATTCATAGTGCTAGAAAGAAAAATCAGTCCAGGAAAGGAAAAAGGAGACACATACCGTCTCAGCCATGGAATACTCAGAATTAAGCTTCTTAGCTAGACCATAATCTCCAAGTTTGATCAGATTTGCCTTGGTCAGAAAAATATTTAATGTCTTTATATCTCTGGGGGGAAAAAAAGGCAGCATATTAAATTCAGGTAAGTCAACTGTTTAATCTCATCCCACATCCCAACCAGGATTATGAAAGAATAAAAATGAATGTGTGACCACTGTGCAGACCTTACAGGGGCCAGAGCAGCCGTCATCACTTTCAAACAAGATATAACACTTTTTTGAAAAGGACCTGGGGAACGGAGGGAGAGTATTAACTCCATCCTCTGGGGCTTTACTAAACAGAACGTCTCCCAAACCACTAAATCAGCAGGAAAAGTTGAGAGGGTTAGACAAAACAAAAACGATGGTTCTTAAAGGTGCACTGCCTCTTCAATTATCACTTATGTCTTGAATTAAATAATATCGGGGATTATCTTAACACTTGACTGATGTCAAAGTTTCAAAGCTATGAAGGCACAAGAATATACATCCCAGTAGCAACATAATTATATCTAAATAAAATCAGTGTGTTTCTAAACACGAAAGACAATCTGTGATACAAAAATATGTTCTTGTTGTACAATCTGGCTCCTTTAACTCAAAAATACGAAAAACCTGAATATTCTTTGAGACTCTGGAAAGAAAACAATAAACAACAGCAGTCATTCAAAGGCTATCAAGAAATATTTATCATTAATCTTTAGCAAATGTCAAAGACTCAAGAAAGGTATTAATTGAGGCCGGAGAGACAGTGTAGTGGGTAAGGCACTTGCCTTACCTGATGCCAAGCTGGATTCGATCCCCAGAATCCTGTATGGTCCCCTGAGCACCACTAGGAGTGATTCCTGAGTGCAAAGGCAGGAGTAACCCCTGAGCAGTGCCTCTGGATGTGGCACCTCCCCCCCAAAAAAATCCAAACAAACAAACAAACAAATAAGAAAGGTGCAACAATCTAAAATTTTCATTTTATCTGAATACTTTTTTTTGGAGCCACACCAGCAATGCTCAAGAGATGTAACTGATAGGGAGAGAACCCAGTGCTCCTGCATGGAAATCATGCACTTCAATCTCCTGTGCTATTTCCCCAGCCTAGAAAGGCGTAATAATATTCTCTCTTATAGAAATAAGTATAAATCTGGTTCCCTCCCTTACCTCAGCGATCTCATAAAATTATAAAAGTTTTAAAAATGATAAGACTTTTCAGGTAATTTTTTTTTTTTTTTTTGCTTTTTGGGTCACACCCAGGGATGCACAGGGGTTACTCCTGGTTCATACCCTCAGGAATTACTCCTGGCCATGCTTGGGGGACCATATGGGATGCTGGGAATTGAACCCGGATTGGGCCGCGTGAAAGGCAAATGCTCTACCCGCTGTGCTATCACTCCAGCTCCAACTTTTTAGGTAATTTTAAAAATTAAAATTGCCAATCATGACTGCTCAGAAAAACATGTAACATGAATTCCAACCAAAATACCAATTCTCATTTATTAATGAATCAATGAACTGAGCTCTAAAGTCTCTTAAATGACTAATCCACATGGGGCCTCACGGGATGGGGGTGGAGCCGGCCCTTTCCTCCCTATCCCAACGAGACACTGAATCACTGCCAATGAACGGTCTCTCTGGCTCCTGATCAAGCTGCGTAATGGCCATGGTCCAAGCGACTCAGAAAAAATCTTGGAACACAGCAGGTTTTGGCAGAAATCCCTCCAGATTTAATTGTTAAAATTTTGGAATTTCAAAATCACGCGGCCACTGCTGCAGCCACACGACATCATAACCAGCAATAGAAAACAAATTGTCTACTGTTGCCTTTTCAGCAGATCTGAGTGTTGGGGTAAAATTCCAAATAATAATGGTGGGTCTGGTGTCAAAATATTGAATGTGATCAATGTAGAGAGAGAGAGTAATGTGGAAATCATCTGCCCCACAGGTAGGGGGAGGGTGTGGGATGGGAGTATACTGGAGTTTTTGGTGGTGGAGAATGGGCACTGGTGAAGGTACGGGTGTTTCATTGTATGACCGAGACTTAAACCTGAAAGCTTTGTAACTGCTCTCACGGTGATTCAATAAATAAAATGATAAAAAATGAAAAAAAAAAAAGTAAGGTGGAGTTCATGCCCAATTTAATCAGCTAATCAGTGGCTGAATAAATAGCAGTACTCCTACATTAAAAAAAAAAAAAAGAAATGACTAATCAGTACTTAGCTACTGAAAAGATTCTTCCTAGACCACAAAGAGAGTTTAATTTCAGGAAGTAAAGATAACATCCCTCATGACTCCCTCTTTCCTTTCCAAACTGTATCAATGAAAAAGCTTTGACACTTTAAGAAAATAATGGCACTGATGGGAATGTCCAAAGTGGGGGGCTGGCTTCGTTGGGATGAGTCTAGCCTATATTCTTTCACTCCTTACCTATGAAGAATTCCAGCTTTATGGATACAGCTCACTGCTGAAACAATCTGAAATAGATACCACACCACCATCTGCAAAGACAAAATAAGTTACATTTGGATTGGAAACAAAATAATTCCATTTAAATAAAAACAGACACACAGACACACAAACAAACAAATGAAACAAAGGAAGCTGCGACCAGAGGTTATGATCTACATGACTTGACATCTCTTGTAGGTTGAGTAGGCAAAGAAAAGAGATGGGGTGAAAGAAAAAGCAGGTCATTATAAGATAGTTCCAATGTCAATATAAAATACAGTGTGGTGAAGCAGACTTGTGGAAAGAAATCCAGGAAGAATACAAAGGTATAGAAAACTGGGCATACCAGTATGCAGTAATAGAACCAGGAAAGAAAGCCCATAGAGAATCATGAGGTTTCCTTTCTCATGAATATCAACCAGAGCCTGGAAGGAGTCTGAACAAAAGGAAAAAAAAACACTCTTCATTGTTGGAAGAGTAAATACAGAACTAGAATGCAAGAATCACAACATTATAATTCTAGTTTCTTTCCACAGAAATCTGAATTACCTCTTCCTCGAACAACTTGTCTTTCTGACGAAGGATTTTGTCATATAAGTTCCCTCCTGCAATTAAAAAAGTTAGGTTTGATCAAGAGAACCAAGATTCAAGTTTGGCTCCTATATACAGATTTTTTAACACTGATACAAAGAAATAAAAAATCCTGTTTTCTAACTCCAAAGGAAAATTTCCTCCCTTTCCAAAGTACTCTTTTAATGGTTTCAACACTTCTCCCGTGGAACAGGAGATAGTACACGGGTTGAGATGCATCGCCAGCATGTCTGATACCCAGGTCCAATTCCTAGCTCTTGTCCTCTAGCACTTGCATTGAGTTGCCAGCCTGGTGGGACCTCGACTTCCTGAGCACCACTTGGGGAACCCCAAAACAGAACAACTTCTTCCCATTTCTCAAAGACTGTGTCAAAATATTCTTCAAAGAATACTGCCTCCCCTAACAAGAGACTCAAAACAAAAATAAGTGTCATATTTTTAAAAAAAAGCCAAGTTCCTTTTCTTTAGCAAAATTCCCCAGTATATCTTCAAAATTAGATGATTTTCTTCTCTGACAGTACTTTAAAAGAATCCACAAATTTTTTTTTTTGGGGGGGGGAGGCACACCAGCATATTTACTCAGGGTCCTGGCTCAGGAATATATTCCTGGTGGGCTCAGAGGATTATATGGGATGCCAAGGATCAAACCTGGGTCAGCTGTGTCCAAGGCAAGTGCCCAGTGTACTATCATTCCTGACAGAATCCACGTTTTAACAAGACTCTCAGAGCAAACACTAGATAGAACCCTGAATCACCCGCTTTGTGGGTAGCACTGACAATTTCTTTTTCCTTCCACTATCCTCTGAAAAGGTTTCCCAATATTTTGGGTCAATCTCTGCAATCTTTTCAATCATTTCTCCTTCCATAAATTCCTTTTTTCTTTTTTCCAGAATAAGTCTTAATTTGCTTTCCTCTTTCCTTTGTCAAGTGATACAGACTACAAATGATCTATTTTATTTCCTGCACTGTAGCACCATCCTCCCCTTGTTCATTGATTTGCTTGAGTGGGCACCAGTAACGTCTCCATTGTAAGACTTGTTACTGTTTTGGGCATATCAAATACGCCACGGGGAGCTTGCCAGGCTCTGCCGTGTGGGCGGGATACTCTCGGTAGCTTGCCGGGCTCTCCCAGAGGGACAGAGGAATCGAACCCGGGTTGGCTGCATGCAAGGCAAACGCCCTACCCTGCTGTGCCTATAACTATTTCACTCTGGCCAATTTTCACAATCTCATTTCTTCTGCAACTTAATAACTCCAGTTTCAATCAACTCATCATGTGTGGTACTTCCTCCTAACCACAAAGGAAGTTAGCTGCTCATGATTTTGCTACTTCAAAAGTCTTTTTCATTTTCTTCAAAAAACTTTAAAATTATCTTGTACATTTAGACTTGGACAGGATATTGACACAGGAGTCCTAACAAGAAAGTTACAAGTCTATGAACTTTCGCTTAGTGATTTAAGTGAACTATATGCTTGTCCCTGTTTAGTCGAAATCTTCAGAAAGACTTTGGGAGTTCTCTTATGTAACAAGAACAAGAGCTTAGACAGAATGTCTAAAATATTTGCTACTAACCACAGTGTTTATATAAAGTGTAGGAGGAAAAATACACATGAGTAGGCCTTACGTAGCTCATGTAAATTCCAAAATATAGTAGCACAGCATTTCTTTAAAAGTTTGGTCAATGACAAGTTAGGCATGATTATTAACCAAAATGAGATCCAAATATCAAATAAAATTTAAAGCAATTTAAAAAAAAAGCTGCTACTTAATAATCACATACTAGGAGGGTTTATATATTCACTTAATACAACAACCCAGGACAGGGATGTGGCTCAGTGGCACAGCATTTGCACTGCATGTGTTATGCCCTGGCTTTAATTATTGGCACGGAAAAGCAACCCCTGAGCACTGAGCTGGGTGTGGTCCCCACAATCGCTGGCTGTGGCGCAAAAAAAAGATAGGAAGGGGAAAAAAATGAAGAAATTGTAGGAGATAGGCAATATTTATTAACCAAACCCTTTATTTGGAGGTGGGTGGGTTGGGAGACACCCCATAATGAACAGCAGGGACTCATGGCTGTTCTCCGGAGACACCCCAAGTGGTCTAAAGGGGACCATTTGGGTGCAGGGATCAAATCAATTGGCCAAAAGCAGATGCATGCATACCAAGTGCCCTACTTCCTGTACTCTCTCTGGCCCCAACAAACTCATTAAAATGAGGAAGCTGAGACACAGGGAAGTTTTTTTTTTTTTTGGTGAAAGGTTAAAGAGTTTAAAAGCAGCTATGCGTTTTATATGCATTGTCTTAAAAAAAAAAAATCCAAGTAGACTAGGCTGTTATCAGAGAACAGATAAATAAGACCATACTTTACTACACTTTACTGTTATAAAGTTACACCTTTTGAATCAATCTTTGAGTAAGAAAGCTCATGCTGAAGGCAGAATAAACAAGTATCACCCATAAGATTTCATTATATGAGCTGGAGAACACAGGGGTGAAAGCCGTGCACATGGCTAACCCTGGTTCAATCCTAAGAACCGCATATGGTTTCCTGAGCACTGCCAGGAGTGGCCAAAAAAACCCCAAAGATTTCTCTTTACATATCAAGCACCACTACACAAACCACACTGTATCTCTAATGCCTAACCAATGTCCTTTTACAACTAAAACAAAATTTAATAAATGAATGTGAAATCTAAATGCACAAAATAATTCGAGGATGGAATTGTAACCAGGGAGAATTTGAATATGCGGGGGACCACTGCTCCCCCTGAGCACTTAGACACTCAAGGGCCAGAGCTATTTATCTTAAACTCTGGTAAACCACTTCAAGCTTTTATCAAGTTTTACTTCCCCCATCTGGGAGCCCAACCCAGAGTGGCTTGTAGGGGGAAGCTGGGAGCCCGGGCATACCATTACAATACTCCAGCTCGATCAGCAGGGTCGTGTTGTCCATGAAGTGATTGTAGTAGGCAATGATGTTGTCGTGCTGCAGGAGCGCCAGAATAACAATCTCATTCAGAGCATCACGACGTTCCTTCTCAGACAATCGGGTCAAATCAACTTCCTTCCACACAACCAATGAGTCATCCTATAACACAGTAATAGAGGCATCGTGCTCTCCTCTAGTCGGCAAAGCGTGAAATCCACACCTGCCTCTGGAAGCCTAGAAAGAAAACTTCCTAGATGGGCAGAGAACGATTCCTTTTATTTTTCCCTTTAAAAGAATATGAATAGGCGTCAGTTAATACAACCTGCAAACAAGCAAACGTTACACATTAAGCAGGATGGGAAAGTAAAGCGCTAAGACGCTCTTTACGCGGCTGCTATACTTTAGCACCCCGTTAATTCCAGCTAAAAACACGGGCTGGAGGTACACTTTAGATTCTATTGTGACAGCTGACACGTTCACTAGTTATGAGAAGCCTGGGAAGGCTACAAACTAAGAGAACTAGAACCTGGTTAGATACAGCTGACTGGTTTCTGGTAAAGGCAAACAAAAACTTGCCTTTAAATTCAGACATCTCCAGTGATTTTTCCTTTACCCTCGCTGGGGCTTTGGATTCATCTCTTTTACCCTAATCCATTCTGCAACTTTGTATTTCCTGTCCCTTTATGTATCATGTTTCTCTCAAGTTATAAAAACTTACCTGCTCCCAATGTTTTAAATAAAATCTTAATTTTGCTTGTCTGTCTGTGGTCACCCCTGGAAGTGCTTGGATATGCAGGGCCGGGATTGAATCCAGGGCTCCTGCATGCAAGCTCCTCAGTCTTGAATGCTCTACTGACACTGCTGACAGGAGCATCTCTACCTACAGAACCTAGGAGGGTTTGGAATGATACTGCATGGCCAATGCTCATACACTAAAATATTTCTCTATGCTTTTTCATTTATAGACACACACAGGAAATCCTATCTTTTTTCTTAAACAGGGCTAACTTGACCTTCTATCGAAAAGCGTTTGACAGAAAGGTTGCTTCTAATGAAACTTTAGTGCATTCACTGATCACAGGTGATATGCGGCTCTGGAGAGATGTCACTGTCACTGTCCTCCCAGTGTTCATCTATATGCTCGAGCGGGCTCAGTAACGTCTCCATTGTGAGACTTGTTGTTACTGTGTTTGGCGTATGGAATACATCATGGGTAGCTTGCCAGGCTCTCCAAGAGGGGCAGAGGAATCGAATCAGGGTCGACCGCGAGCAAGGCAAACGCCCTACAAAAAAACTGGGGGAAAGGGTGCCGGAGATGGAACCTAGGGCCTTTACCACATGCAAGGCATATGATACATATTCTTATGACAGCTGAACTCCGTCCCCAGCCCAGTGTAATAAAATTTAAAACAACCTCAGTACTCAGGCCCCACACCATTACGAAAGACGAGAGAAAGAGGAATGTGAACCTCCACTCTATAGTCAAAGATTTACTTCAAATCTATGGGCAAATCATTTAAACCTGTCTTCATTTCCTTACACATCAAGTCACCAGGGTACTTAGGCAATCTTCACATCGTGCGATACTCTTTTACAACCAACTCTTCCCCTGTCAACCCCATCGGACCCTCATTAAACGGTGATTCCTAGTAAACAGACATTGGGGGAATCAAACCCAGATCACTGTCTTTGAACGCACCGTCCCCGTTTCCCCGGGCCTGGCGTCATCACACACTCTTTGTGTTTCGTGGTTTGGGGAATCACACCCCGAGGTGCCCTGCAGTGCCAGGGGATTGAACCCAGGTCAGGGGCTCTGGCCATGCAAGCCAAGTACTACATCTCTCAGGAGTCCCTTACAAGGTATTTGAATAGGGCGAGGGTTGGGGCCGGGGGAGGGGCGTCATTGCTCCAAGGGCGTGCATGTTATGCAAATGCCATGGGAGGGGTCGCTATTCACATCAGGCCCCTCCAGGGCTCGGAATCAAAGGCTTTTCGGCGCCGTCGTCGGCCTGGGACGTGCAGGACCTGGGGCTTAGGCCAGGAGAAGTGGGTGGGGGAGGGGGGAAGGGCAGCGGGGAAAGGGAGGGGAGGAAATTGTCTCCTGGAATCACCCGGGCCGAGTCCTTTCCAATGCCTCCACGCTCCTGGGTAAACTGAGGAGCAACGTGCCCGGGGCGGGCTGGACACCTGCGCTTCAGGTGCGGCGTGGGCCGGCCACCGGGCTCGACCCCTGGACCTCGGGGAGCCGTGGGTGGGCACCGGCGGGCGTCCAGCCCGACTGCCGTACCCAGTGCGTGCGTGGGGGCGGGTGGGGGACAGCCTGCTCGAGGGCTCCCCCGACGGCACGGACGGTGCGCACCGGGTGGGGGTGGGGGGGAGCTCTGCGGCGCGCGGGAAGCCGGGGTCGCCCCCCGCCCGGGAACGGGGGGGTGGGGGGCGCGCGCGCGCGCGGCCGCTACCTCGGTGCGGCGGTACAGCGTGGCCTCCCCGAAGGCGCCGCGGCCCAGCACGCGGATGGGGATGTAGTGCAGCTCCTCCTGCTCCGCCGCGCCGCCGATGCCGCCGCCGCGCGGGCCCGCGCTGCCGCCGCCGGGCCCCGGGCCCGAGTCCCCGCCACCCCCGCACTCGCTGCCGAAGTCCGAGTTGATGGAATCGCAGTGTCGCTCGTACTCGCCCAGCACCGACATGGCGGCGGCGGTGGCGGCGGTCCCCGGGAGCGCCCGGCGCGCCGAATCTCGCCCGCCGACCGACGCCCCTCGCCCCCCACGGCGGGGCCTCACACGCCGGCCCGCGCCTCCGTCAGCGGCCCCGCAACCCCGCGAGGTCCCATGGTGGCGCCTGCCCCCTGACCCGGAAGCAGTCGCGGGCGCTTCCGGCCCGGCGGGGCGGCCTCCGCCCCCGCAGGGGTTTTCCGGCTTTTCGGCCGCCAGTGGCCGCGGCGCGCCGGGGAACCGCGGAGGTCGCGGGGTGGGGGTGACGGCCGTCCCGGCGGGGCCCGGGAGTCCTGCTTGCTGCAGGTCCCGGCCAGCTCCCCCGACGGGCTCGGTTGGGAGTCCGGAGCCCGTCCGGTTTCGTTCCGGCGCCGGGCTTATCTCGAGTGCGGACGAGGGACACTGACCCTTCCCACGCTGGACAGCGCCCCGGGCTTAGAAATAAGATCGCCGAGAAACTGGAGTTGAGCTCAAGGGTTTGCCATTCGTCCTGTCAGTCGGTGGACCCAGTTCTTGCTCCCAGAACCAACCGCCCTAGGCACCTTTCTCTTGCACTCCCCTCCCCTCCCCCCCATCCCCCACCTTCTGGCAGATTTCAGCTTCTTTTGTCTTCAGGCAAATCTGACTTATCTGATCTCACGCAATATTCTTTGGACTCTAGGTGCCAACATTAGGGGGTTGGGAAGTGATCTGCAAAAAGACGCTCCCTGCCCTCCAGTCCTGAGAATTGCAATCCAGTGGCAAAAACGTGTCCATCAGTTACGTGACTGGGGCAACCTCACATCTCCAAGCTTGCTTCCCATCTGCAAACATGAACTACATATAACATACATATATATATAAACATACATATATATTTATATATATATATATATAAACTTCACTGTCCTCCCGTTCACGGATTTGCTCAAGCAGGTCCAGCAACATACGCGCACACACACACACACACACACACATATATATATATAAACTTTCCTGGCACCACGCCGAAGGTTCTTCTCCTATGTATTATCCCAGTTAATCCTCATACCAGTCTTATTATACGGGGTTGGGGGGGAGCTTCAGAGGGGTCAAGTATCCAGCTATCTGGCTCCAGATCTGAAGCAGGTAGTGTTAGGATTATGTATACAATTCGTGCAGCTCATGTGGCTGGGGCCCAGGGTGCCTACGGGGTAGAGCAGAAGATAGGGCTTCAAATGTTTTGTAGTTTGGTCTTACCTGTTGGCAGTGAAAAATTAACGGAGATTCTAAAGAAGGGGATTATATGACTCTTGTGTTTTCAGATTTGTTGAAAAAGCCAATCTAGTTATTCCCTCCCAGCATAATAAAGCCTTTGATCAGAAAATAGTAAGATGACCTTACAGAAGACTGATATATATATATATATGCATGTGCGTGTGGTGTATGTATTTTGGCTTTGGCCACATCCAGTGATGCTCAGGGGTTACTCCTGGCTGCTTGGGGGACATACGGGATGCTGAGGATAGAACCACATTGGCCACGTGCAAGGCAAGCACCCTACCCACTGTTCAATCACTCTGGCCCTTAACAGTCAGATTTTTAAACTAGGTGAATAGAGATGGCAAATATGGGAGAAAAAGGATTGGTAGAATGGGGGAAGAGGTGTGAAGGCTATTGAGTTCACATTTCTCTGACTTCCCTAAACACTTTTTTTTTTTTTTGCTTTTTGGGTCACACCTGGCGATGCACTCAGGAGTTACTCCTGGCGGTGCTCAGGGGACCATATGGAATGCCAGGAATTGAACCCGGGTCGGCCGTGTGCAAGGCAAACGCCCTACCCACTGTGCTATCTCTCCAGCCCCCTAAACACTTTTTGAAGTATTATTCTCTTACACCCTGTATCATATTCCACACTGGATCTCAATATGGGGGAAAAAAGGGAATTCTTTTTTACCTGAATCTAACATTTCTACTAATTAACCAGCCTTCTTAGTATCTTAGACTGTGCTTGAACTTGTATTTGCAGTTTTCGTATACATTCTAATCCAAAGTAACACAGCCCCCCTCAGATCATATCATTAAATTTTCCTTGCATGCTTTCCTGTAAAATACTGATGCCTATTAGCATATAAACTCCACGATAGCCTGGATTTTACTCTTAAATTATTTGCAGGGCCAGAAAGATAGTATAGTAGGTAAGGTGCTTGCCTTGCACACAGCTGACCCAGGTTTGATTCCTGAAACCCATGATGGGCCTGAGTCAACGTAGGAGTAATCCCTGAGCACAGAGCCAGGAGTAAGCCCTGAGCACTGTCAGATGTGGCCACTGAACAATCAAACTCATGTAGATGACCTTTTAAAACCTATCCTGATTGATATATCCTATTATACTTTGGTATTACTCCAGGGTTCTAGATTGTAGATGTTTTTTACTCTCATTCATTCATTCGTTCTTCAACAAACTGAGTCCTAATTTAACCTGTGCGAGGTGTTGGTTATATTGGGTTACAACAGAGAACAAAATAAATATGGTTCCTGTAAGGTAAAGGTAAAAGCCCTCCCGTTGTTCATCGATTTGCTCGAGCGGGCCCAGTAACGTCTCCATTGGAGATTTTGTTGTTACTGTGTTTGGCATATCGAATACATCACGGGTGGCTTGCCAGGCTCTGCCGTGTGGGCGAGATACTCTCGGTAGCTTGCTGGGCTCTGTGCTATCGCTCCTATGTATAGATTTATTTTATTTTTTGCTTTTTGTGTGTGTCACACCTGGCTCTGCACAGGGGTTACTCCTGGCTCTGCACTCAGGAATCACCCCTGGTGGTGCTCAGGGGACCATATGGGATGCTGGGAATCGAACCCAGGCTGGCCACGTGCAAGGCAAGCACCCTACCCACTGTGCTATTGCTCTAGCCCCCTGTACAGAGAGATTTAAAGTACTGCAACTACCAGAGAATTTTAAGTGTCTGACTGCTATTATAGGAAAAGGACAAGCTTTTAGGACGGCATTTTAGGTAGGGGATCTTTCCAAGCCAAGCATTAGTCAACCTGTCTTGGAGAAATAGCCTAGATATTAAATCAGTGACAGCTAAACTAGTGACAACATTCCAGATGATTCCATCCGCCACCTCCTATTTGAAGGCACTTTGATGATTGATAGTGCTTGTTTAAATGGGTATGCTTCAGCTCAATACATTAAAAAATGTATTTTTAATTTTATTTTTAACGGATGGGACTGTAGCACTGTCCTCCAGTTGCTCATCGATTTGCTGGAGCAGGCCCAGTAATGTCTCCATTGTGAGACTTGTTGTTACTGTGTTTGGCATATCAAATATGTCACGGGGAGCTTGCCAGTCTTTGCCGTGCGGGCTAGATACTCTTGGTAGCTTGCCAGGCTCCCCGAGAGGGGCTGAGGAATTGAACCTGGGTCAGCCATGCCGGCTGTTGCAAGGAAAATGCCCTACCACTGTGCTATCGCTCCAGCCCAAAGGATGGGACAAGTCCTTATTATTTTTTTTTTGCCACACCCTGTGTTCTTAGGGCTTAATTCTTGCTCTGCTCCCTGGGGTCACTCCTGGAGTTGCTTGGGGGACCTTTGTGCCAGGTACTAAACACAGGTTGGTTGCATGCAAGTAAGCACCATGCTCGCTGTCCCATTGCTCAGGCCCCCCAAAAATCTGAAGTGTTGACTTACATTCCAAGAAACTGAGTTGGTTTCAGCCAAAACTTTAAAGCCTCAGGCTTGAGAGATAGTACAGTAGGTAAGGTGTTTGCTTGCCTTGTCTGCAGCCAACTGAATTTCACATTTTTAAACATTTTTAATTTTTGTTAATACTGTACTTGAAATACCACTGCAGTAGGTTTAATAATTTGTAAAATATGTACAGTCACTTAAGAAGTGTAAGATACGACGAGACATTTAAATTCATTCCTGTTGTCTAAACCAACAGCAATAAAGACTCCTGGTATTGTTTTTTGGGCCACAGCCAATGATGCTCAGGGGACCATGGGGTGCTAGAGATTGAAGCCAGTCTCTCTCAGGAGCCATTCAGTGCCATGTGCTTCAGTCATGTGAGCCACGGTTGGGGAGGAGGGCATACCTGACAGTCCTCAGGCTAATCCTGCCAACTGCTCAGGGCTACTTTGTCGCAGTGCTAGAGGGCCCAAATACTGGGCTGGGTATCCACCCTGTCTCTGGCATGCACGTGCTTCAGCCTGCTGAGCTATCTTTGAGTCCACAAGAAGACTTTTTTTGGGTGGTGGGGTGGACCAACCCAGCTATGCTCAGCTTACTCCAGGATCAGTCCTGGCAGTGCTTAGGGTGATGATCACACGGCATGCTGGGGACCGAAACTAGCAACCTAGGCAAGCACCTTAGCTGCTGAACTATCAGGCACTGTTTAGCTATTCTTGAGGCTTCTTGAGTTAAAAAAAAAAAAGTAGGGGAGTTTTGGGCCATACTACATGGTGCTCTGGGGCTACTCCTGGCTTTTGCTGAGGGATCACTCTCAATGGTGCTCAGATGGGATCAAACCAGGACTGGCTGCATGCAAGGAAACAACTTACCCATAGTACTCTATGGCCCCTGAAGTTAGAATAGCTATATTCAAATGTTGGATTTTACTTCATTACCAATTTGTTTGAGGATAATAATGGATGTGTAGGATAACACTACTTTGTCCTTCCTCAGGTAGCTTAGGTTTATTGGGTCACACCCATCCCAGGGCACTGAACTTATAAGTTAATATTGCTTTTCTCCTCTCCTTATGTCTTTTGAATAGTTTACCTTAAAGCAATGTTCTTTCTCTATGGACACAGGAAGATAGTTAATATTACGCTTTGTAACTTGGGAGTTGATTGACTCCGAATAATATTTACTCCTGGGCATCTGCTTTCTTGACTCAGTTGCCCTTAGTTCCTAGCACCCCAAAAGCAGGGTCCCGACAAGGGACTGAATGGACCCAGGGCAAGCTGTGAGCTACCCTGGCATCAAAATGGGCCAGGCTAAGGCGCCACGATAGTCAACTATAAGTTGAGGGCATGATCATGGACAAATGCTGTCATGATCCAAAAGAAAGTAATGACGAGACTAGGACCCTGCTGGGGCTAGGAAGACTAACCTGGTCTGAGGACTGCGGAATGTATAATGAGATGTTTATATCTTTTACTGTGCTCACACAGAATGACATTGCTAGAAATATTATAAGTAGATTTACTACAACTATTTAAGTAGATTACTAGCTGATTACTCTCTTTGGGATCTCACCCTTGAGCGGATCTCCTAGTAATCTGGAGTAATCTCTTTAGATGAGATTTTTATCCTTGAGTCAATCTCCTGGAGGAGTGGTCTTACCTCTCATTGTTGATTTGTCGATGTTCAACCCACCTTTGTGTGACCGCCTTATGTGACTGCTATATAAACTAAGATGTAAGCTTGGAAGAGCAGAGTCAGAAGTGAGAGAGCTCGGGCTCCAGAGAACTAGAGTCAGAGCCAGAAGGAGAAGGGGTTCCAGATTGGGGCCCAGGAGAGAAGGAGGCAGAGGAGAGACAGGAGTGAAGAGGATTGGAATAAACTACAATTGATATCGACCAGCCTGGCCCTCGTTTCTTCCTTCGTCTGCCCTTGACCAACAGCCATCCTGATCCAGGCCACACACAGAGGCTCAAGAGCACCGAATGCGGGCGGTGAGAGAGAGCCGTTCAGAGAGCCCGTGAACACACAACCTTCCGCGTGCATAAGATTTTACACGGACGAGGGTAAATCAAATTAGTCTGTGGATATACAAAAGCACATATACACATATACACTTGTCTCTTGAAAAGCAGCTTTATGAAAAACGTTCAAGTACAATAAAAGGAAAGCAGAAAATGACTTTTGGGGTGGGGTTTTGTGGTGTGGTAAATCAAAAAAAGCAAGTCCTGGGGATTTCTAAATTGGGAAGGGCCTTTTAAAAATTGTGTATAGGGGCTGGAGAGATAGCAGAGCGGGTAGGGCGTTTGCCTTGCACGTGGCCGGCCCGGGTTCGATTCCCAGCATCCCATATGGTCCCCTGAGCACCGCCAGGAGTAACTCCTGAGTGCAGAGCCAGGAGTTACCCCTGTGCATTGCAGGTGTGACCCAAAAAGCAAAATAAATAAGTCAATCAATAAAAATAAAAACTGCATAAAGGAGAAGGTCCTCTAGAAGAATAATTCCAGGGCCAGAGCTATGGTACAGCTGGTAGGGCGCTTGCCTTGCATGCAGCTGGCCTGGGTTCAATCCTGGGCATCCCATATAGTCCCCTCCATGTACCTCCAGGAGTAATTCCTGAGTGCAGAGCCTGGAGTAACCCCTGAGCACCGTCAGGTGGGACCCAAATCCCAAAACCAAGTTAAAAAAAAAAAAGAATTCCAATAGCAATTTTTCAAGAGACAGGCGACAGCCATGGTCTATTTTATGAAACCCTAGTCTTCCTGAAGATTTGTAACTCTCATATACATGTAAGACGCATACAAAAAATTGTTTTGCTTTGCTTTTGGACCACACCCAGCTGTGTTCAGGGCTTACTCCTGGCTCTGTGCTCAGGGATCACTCCTGATGGGCTCAGGGGAATGGGCTCAGGGGACCATATGGGGTGCTGGGGAATCGAACCCAGGTTGGCGGTGAGCAAGGCAAGCACTCTACCCACTGTACTATTGCTTCGGTCCAGAAAATAAAATTTTTATAGGTCACAACAACTATCTAGAAGTAAATTACAGATAATATTTTTCTTTAATTCATCACGCAAAATTTGCCATGCTCAAAAATTAAGGAACATGGAGGAATTACTGTCAATCCAGACGGAGGTACTCAAAGCATAAGAATACACCTACAATGTTTTCTGCTAGCCTTTATTTGAGAAAACTTACACAAAAATCCCAATCCAACACTTACGAGTGCATTTGTCTAAATCCCACATGCCTCTTTCCATGAAACAAAACAATGGCTCATGACGGGTCTGACAACAGCATAACCAAGCTTGCTGAACGCTCATTCTCATCTATATCGCACACATCACACTGAATAGGCTCAAAAACAGAGGAGAGCAGGTAACATTCTCATTTTCTTAAGCTGACTTGCTCTTACAATAGTCCATTTTCAAAATTCAAATGAAAAGCAAATAATTGACCTTCTAGACGAAATCAGGATGTCTTTTCAGTGAACTTTAAACCAAGAGCACAAATGTCTCTGTTGATAATTTTGGCATATGAAAGGAAAGGGCATGGAAGCATTTCAGTTTCACAAGTCATGTTTGCAGAAAAAAAAAATAAGCGAAATAAAATGTTCTCCATTCCTGTATTGTTTTTCGAAACTGTATCAGAACAGAAGACTATAACCAACTGAGCAGTTTTCTTTGCTTCTAAAAAGGGGAAAGGCACCAGTTAGAAATATGAAAGAATATCTTATTAGGCTAATGGTACAGGACAGAATTTCACTTACTATTAAATGCTAAGGATGGATCTTAACGCACGATTTCTTCTTTTCCCTTTTGGGTGCACGGCCAGCCATATAGTAGATCTAATACCCTAGACAGGTGTGTTCCACATCTAAGGCCCTTGTGGCGAGCATTCTGCCACCAGGTCCTCAAGAGCAGCAGCACCGACCAATTCCTTACAGCAGGTGGCGATGTTGCACAAATTAATAAGAACCTCTTTAATGCTACATGGGAGGAAGAATTCATCCAGGGAATCAAAAGGTTTTGGAGCTCACAGTAGCTGGGAACACTAATGACACACCCTGAGACTTTTGACAAAATTCACTCCCTCTTCCACCTCTATACTCTCTCTGGGACAGCACAGCAGGATTTTCTGCTAACTCCAACATAACCATCAGGTGCATGCCCCTAAATCCTGGAACTCTCGCCACTGTAACAAGCCCTGTAAAACACTGCAGGGCTAAAAGGGAGGCTTCCCTTCAAGAAAGACAAACTCCTACCTGCTTTCCCGGGAGAAGCAGGGAAAACGTTAAGGGATAGTATTCGCTGACGAAGCATAATGACGTGGTCATTTGTAGGCATATCCTCTATCTACACTGCTAATGTGGCCTTTAAGCACCTCATATTCCCACAATGATTCTTGGCTTTGATTCTGCATTTATTTTCAAGTATTTGCTATATTCACAATCCTCCTCGATGTGCTACTTTTTGATGCCTCCTATATCTGAATTCGTGAGCAAGACACATCTCCCCATGTTAAAGAATGAAGTCAGTGACTGGCATGTAAGAAGAATGTAAATTTTCCTTGGTAGGAGTTATGTTAAAAGTTCAAGCAACCACATATCTGACAATGGCATGTATACAGAACATATAAGGAACCCTTAAAACTCAACATGAAAAAGAATAATCTAATTTGAAAATAGGCAAGAGACATGAACAGGTATTTCACTCAGGAAGATGCACAGATGACAGGCAAATAAGCACATTGAAAGATGTTCAACATCATTAGCCACTGGAAAATTGCAAATTAAAACCACAATGAGGTATCATTACACATGGCTATTAGATGACTAAAAAAATAACATAACATTGGTAACAATGTGAAGAAAGTGAATCAATCATAATTGGTGGATAGAGTCACTCTGGAAAATAAGAGCAGTTTCTAACAAAATCTAATGTGCTTACCATAATTGCTCTCCTGGGCATTTATCCCAAAGACACAAAAATTTATGTTCATATAAAAACCTATACACAAATGTTCAGAGCAGCTTTATCAGTAATGACCCAAACCTGAATACAATCCCAATATCCTTCAAGGGCTGAACAGTTAAAAAAAACTTGTGGTATATCCGTACCATAAAGTACTACTGAACAATAAAAATGAATAAATTATTGATGCATAAAATAAGTTGAATGAGTTTTAAAGGAAATACGCTGAGTGAAAAAACAATTTTGAGGTCACATACTAAATGACTGCATTTCTGTAACATTCTTAAAATAACAAATTGGAGATTGAGAACAGATTAGTGGTTGCCAGAGGTTGGAAAGTCATGGCTGTAGCCCAGGGAACTGCATTTTGCATCTGCATCCTGTGGAGGTGGGCACAAGAATCCACACAGGTGGTAAAATAGACACACAAGAAAAAAAGTTCAAGCAGTTGAGCACAAATACTTTAATTCTCTATAAAAATGGAACTGAGAATCTCCTATAGTTCAAAGCTCATTTCTATGAGATGCCCACATCCATCTTCTCTTAAGAGACATAAAATTATGAAAAGATACCACCAGAAGCTACCTAAACATTTCAGCTACGGGTCAAGAGAAAGGGTGTTTTTGGAGGGAAATCCAAAGAGGACAATCAGAATGAAACAAGTTCAGAATGGTCATACGAATTTTTGTAAAGGAACCAGAGGAGAAGCCCAAGCTGGTGAGCAAGTAGAGAAGGAAAGAAAACATGGTTCAAAAGATCATACAAGGAAACCCAGAACAGATGCTGGCTTTGGCGTTATCTAGGTAACTCCCCCCTTTTTTTCTGTTATAGGTGAATTTAATAATAGTCTTATTGTTGCAAAACCAGTCCAAATCCTACCGATATAAAGAGGTCCCTCATTGACTTGTTGGATGTACGTGGGAACCCATGTCCTCCCACAGAGAGAGAGATCGGTCTGGCAAGAAAGCTCCGACGCGCCTTGATGGTGCTGTTGGTAGGATGCCTTAGGCCAGGCGCGTCCCAGCGATGTTCTGCCGGCTGAGATACAAGTGGGAGGAGACTGGACCTTATTACTCAATCAACTTCTTGGCCTTGAAGAAGCGACGCAGGTAGAAGACCTGCCAGGTGGCTAGTCCAATGAGGCAGAACATGGAAAAGATGCTGAAGTACAGGACTCGCGTGTTGGTTGACTCTGTTAAGAACATAGTATAGTAAATGCAATGAAGTGAGGATTCAGCAGGATAAACAAAGACCAAAAAACGGAGCAATTAACTTCACTCTATCCCTAACTAGCATACTTTTCAGGGAACTTTTCATTCTCCATCATTCTATACATGTTGGAACTTATAAATATTAGAACTACTTATTTGATAACCATCAGGTGAAAAGGGCCATATTATGCATATCACAAAATAAACTTTTTGTTTTGTTGGGCCACATCCAGCGGCGCTCAAGGTTTACTCCTGGCTATGCTTGGGGACCATGTGTTGTACCAGGGATCAAACACAGGTTGTTCATGTGCAAGGCAAGGCCCTACCCGCTGTACTACTGCTCTGGTCCCACAAAAGAAATTTTTATTCCCTTGAAAATTTAACAAGGGGAATTACCTGCAGCAGCAATACCACTAAAGTAATTATCCTTCCATATAGTCCCTTTGGCAAGAAAAAAAAGGAGGGTGCACCAGAATTTACAGTCTGGGGACTCTTCTCCTTTACAGCTTCCTATAGAGAAACTGAGGCATCTTTCCTCACCATTAGTATCCCGCATTTCCTCCTCACGCTTCTTCATGTAGGCAAAATCATTGACGATTGATTCTGAAAGGTCTTCAAGGCGTCGTAGCTCCACTTCTAAAGGTTTGAGCTTCTCAACTTTTGCAATCTGGAAAAGAATGAAATGAGATAAACCCACTTCTGAAAAAAAAAAAAAGGCTCTGGCAAGGAACACAAGGCAGCAGAGGGATCTTTGGATAAGTTTCCCCAAATTTCAAGCATCTTTTTTCAGGGGCTAAGTAACACATGAAGTCCTTAGTTTGATCCCTGGCACACATAGCTCTCTACTACCCCCAGAATCCTCTACCCTGTTAGATGTGGCACCGAGAGGGTAAAAGAAAAAAATCCTAGTCCTCTAGTTATCATTCAATACAATAATAAAATGCAGGTTTTCTTCCATTCCCTGCAAACCATTTGTGTTTCCATCTCAGGTTTTTTTCTACTTCGATTTCAAAGGAAATTTTTATTTATTCTTGGGGCCACCCCTGGAGATGCTCGGGGATTACTCCTGACCCTGCACTCTGGATCACTCCCAGAGGGCTCAGGGGACTGTGCAGGGGGCCAGGGCTGGAATCAAGTGAGCTGTGTGCTGGGCAAGTGTCCTACCACTGTACTATTTCTCTAGCTCCTGGAGGAAATCTTTTAAAAATACTACATCAGGGTGTTTGGGGAGATGGCTCAAAAGACTAAACATGTGCTTTTCATGTGAGGTTCCTGGGTTTGAGTCCCAGCACCACAATCACTGCTGCAGTAGCCCCGAGTACTACTCGGTGTGACCCTCAAACAAAACCACTACAGCAGGGAATGTGGCTTAAGCAGCAGAACACAGGCTTCGGGTTCGACCAGCAGCACTGAAAAGCAAAAGCAAATTCCCACAAGACACCCCCACCCCCCACCCCATCCAGGAAAATAGCCACAGGCCAGCTGCCATGACAGACTACTTACTGAAGGTTTCAGAATTCAACACAATACTTGTAAATTCCCAACAGGGGTGCAATAGGAATGAGTATATACAATTCCAGTGTTAGGATAAAGAGTCAAAGTACATTCTTTTTTGTTTGTTTGTTTTGGCCACACCTGGCGATCCTTGGGGGTTACTCCTGACTCAGCACTCAAGAATTACCGCTTGGGGGCTGGAGTAGGGCATTTGCCTTGCAAGTGGCAGACCCAGGTTCAATCCCCAGCATCCCATATGGTCCCTGGACCACCGCCAGGAGTGATTCCTGAGTGCATGAGCCAGGAGTAATCCCTGTGCATCACCAGGTGACCCAAAAAACCAAAAAAAAAAAAAAAAAAAAAAAATACGGGCTGGAGCGATAGCACAGCGGGTAGGGCGTCTGCCTTGCACGCAGCCAACATGGCCGACCTGAGTTCGATTCCTCCGCCCCTCTCGGAGAGCCCGGCAAGCTACCGAGAGTATCTCGCCCGCATGGCAGAGCCTGGCAAGCTCCCCGTGACGTATTCGATATGCCAGACACAGTAACAACAAAGTCTCCAATGGAGACGTTACTGGGCCTGCTCGAGCAAATCGATGATCAACGGGACGGCCTTTACTTTTACTTTACTTACCGCCTGGGGGACCATATGGGAAGTCAGAGACAGAACCCAGGATGGTCACATGCAAGGCCAATGCCCCACCTGCTACTTCCGTGGCCCCCTCAAAATGAAGCTACACTGATCCCCAGAACCCAATATTGTTCTGAGTCCACCAGAAATGATTCCTGAGCACAAAGCTAGGAGTAAGCCTTCAACATAGAATGGGTATGAGGGGAAAATAGGTAAAAAAAAAAAAATCTACCACAGTTATGTAATTTTTAGTGACTGTCACTTTTAATTTACATTTACTCACGTACCATTCATTTGATTACTCATGCTATATATGTTTGTCCATAGCATGTGTATTATTATATATATATGTACACACACACACACACACACACACACACACACACACACACTTAGTGATAAATTGGGCTGGAGCGATAGCATAACAGGTAGGGCATTTGCCTTGCATGTGACCGGCCCTGCCGACTTGGGTTCAATTCCTCCGCCCCCTCAGAGAGTCCAGCAAGCTACCGAGAGTATCTTGCCCGCACGGCAAAGCCTATCAAGCTACCTGTGGCGTATTCGATATGCCAAACACAGCAACAACAAGTCTTACAATGGAGACATTACTGGGCCCGCTCGAGCAAATTGATGAACAACGAGAGGACAGTGCTACAGTGATGTTAGTCCTTCAAATAAAGTCCTGAATTATTGCTTTTGCCAAAAAAATGTTTTTAAATGTCAAACTACAGGGTGAGAGAGAGAGAGAGAGGGAGAGAGAGGGAGAGAGAGAGAGAGCAGGGATTAAGGGGGTTGGTTTGCACAAGGCTGACCCTGGTACAATCCCTAGCATCACAGGGTTATTCCACTGCCAAGGGGTGGCCCAACCCCACACCACAAAGTCAAACTATAGAACTGGGGACTTTTGGTTTTCTTATTTAAGTCCCACATAGCGTAAGGGCTACACCACTACTCCAGAGAGCAGATAAATCCTAGGTCCAAATAAGTCCTAGGTCTGTTCAAAACAAAACAAAACAAAACAAAAAAACCCAACTAGCATCCCTCTTTGTTTTTAAAATGGCAGGCAGTAATCAAAAAAATCTTCAAAGAATTTAAGGACTCAAATCCCCCTAAAATGAAATGAAATCTTCAAAGAATCTCTTCAAAGGAAGGAAAGGCACCAAAAAAAAAGGACATTAATTATCTTCCTTTCTTAGTCTAAAAGAACTGTAAAAACCTTCAAGGGTATTTAATGGCAAAATATATATATGAGAAGAGCAAAAACTTCACTTATTTTTCTTATCAAAATTCAAATGATGTGGTCCAAAACAGGGGTATATCACCAGAATTTTCCAGAACTTAAAACTCTCATATACAAACTTCTTTAAAAGTTCCAAAGAATTCTTCAATATTTTTCCTACATCTGCTTAATTTTCTATTTACTCTAATTCTCTATGGAACGCCTCTCTTTACTTCCTGTTAGATGTTAATAGCAGGTAACACGAGGTGAACAGAGCTCAGGGGCGTTTGCCTTGTTCACTCTTGACTGACAAGGCTGAAGAGAGTACTGAGGCAAAGGTGCTTGCCAGCACTGCATGGTCACCCAAATACCACCGAGATTTCCTTGAAGTGTAACCTTGAGGCACAAAACTTCGTTTAAAAAAAACTGCTCCTAAGCCAGGGATATAAAGTTGAGTTTATCTTAAAAGCATGTAAAAATGTGTGAGACAGGTTTACAATGATCTGCCTACATTCTCTTTCACCAAATACACCTTTTCTTACTTTTGTAAAATGCTGGTGAGAGTTATGGCTTGACTGATGGTTGAAGAAAAGAAAAAAGAAAAATGGGTACGATTTAAGCAAGGCACGCTACTAACAGAATGTCCGAATGCTAGGATCTAACCATTCACAGAGACCATGAAGCAGTTGACTGATTCATACAGAACCACAAAGCAAAGAAATTCAGGAAAAAGCTTGGTCTGTTTAACATTTTTCCTCTGCTCTGTACTTCCTCCTCCAAAGCTTTCTGAATGAGAAATTATAAAGGCAATGACATACTTCTTTAGAGAGAAATTATTTAAGGCTTCCTAAATAGAAACTCACAAAGGAACAAGAAGTGAAACTCGCTGTGCCTCTGCCAGTCGAAAATAGTATTTTAAAAGATTCTTGAAGACTATTCCATCCCTCCTCCTCCTCTGTTTTAATTAAATGACAATCGCCTAAAGGCCTAAACCCATAGAAGAATGATGGGATTGAAATTAATTTTGTAGGAGCTGCAGAAATAGTCCAAAAGGCTGCGCCCCATGCCTTGCATGCTCGAGGCCCATAGTCTGATCCCTGGCAACACACTGTCCCCCAAGCACTGCTTGGTTACCCCCAAGCATTGCTATAGTAACATTAGTGCTCCCAGCACCCCTGGGCCCAAACTGACTCCTCAGGTGGGCTTCACTGGACAGAGTGCTACTGGGGGTGGCCGCCACTGGGGAGGTAACAACAAGACAAAAAATTTGTTTCTGAGGATGGTCAAATTGCAGGTCTTAGATCACTTAGACACAGAGACAGTTTCAATCCCCTCTGCCCGCTGCTCGGGGGTAGGCGGGCCCCACACAAGCCTGGCTGAGGTGCTCTTCCATCAGGCCTCGCTGCCTACATAGGTGTTCGTAGGGGCCTGTTACTTACTTGGGACCCTCCTTGTGGCTGTGGTGCTTGCAAGGGGCTGCGGCAGTGCTCAGACACGTGGTCTCCTACGTCAGCCTTCCTGACCATGAGGCTAACACATCCTAGTCACACCTTCTTGGTGTTTGAAGACACTTGGTTGTGGTGCGGCAGGAAGCTGCCCACGGTTCCAGGAAGCACAAGGAGCAGAGCTGCCTGACCGCACTCAGCAAATGCCGCACGGCAGGCCCTCTAAACCCGGAGCACTGTCAGGTGGTGCCACACCCACAAAAATGAACCAAAGCATATCAGAGACAACCATGCTCATATACAAGGTGCTTATCTTTTAGGGTCTTCTTAGAAGACAAACATGCCATTGCACGTGCACACAGAAAACAAGATTAAAGCATATTCGTAAATGGGATTCTCTTTGAGCCACTGTCCTGTGACTTGTTAAGGCAGTAAAGTCTTCTCGAATGTATCAGTGCTTCTAGACCCACACCCTCCTCACCTGCTACAATGTATTCCAGACTATATACTAAAGAGCCCCACCAGGGCCTTTATAGGGCAGCAAACATGTGCTCAGTCCCAAACTATACTCCAAGCCCCCAGAGCCAATTGTATTTCCTCAATGAGATTCTTGTTCAGCCCTCTCTATACTTTCTTCCCCCTTTAAATTTGGCCCGCCCTGAGATAGTACAATGGATATGCCCAGAGAGCACAGAGACAAGAGTAAGACCTGAGCATCACCAGGCCCGGCCCAACACAAAACCAAGAACAAAGCAAAAAAAAAAAAAAAAAAACCAAACAAACAAAGTGAAATGAATGAGTCAAAGGGCAGCAGCACATGCTTCCCATGGAGGTCTCAGAGCTGACCCCTGGCACCGCAGGGCGCGCCAGAACTGCTGC